TAATATCAATTGAACTCGTAACTCATTAGTATTGGTGTTGTTTTGGATTATTGTGATATAGTGCTGGACAAGATTCATCTAATCTGGTGTACTTTTCTTAAATTTTTTTTTAAAGTATAGTGTATATAATTGGCATTTGTTTATTTATTTCGCTATCACTAAATTTCTTTTTATAAATAAAACTCACTTCATAGGATTAATACCCTCACATGTTTTTATACAATAGATCAATTTTGCAATCCGTCTTTAAAATAAAAAAATGTTTTCAATGTGTCCTTATATTTTGAGTTAGTTTTTAATCTAGCATTTTGGCCAAAATTTCTAGTTAATTTTCAAAAATTGATCTTCATATTAGTATGGATAGCTAATTTATGCCGAAGAACAAAGATAATTTTATCAAATCACATACCATGTGTAAATTACATTCTAAATTTAGGATGAATTGATCTCAAAGTTTAACTAAAATGATAGATTAAGAATCAATTAAAAATATAAGGACATATTTGAGGTTTTCTTTTTAGGATAGATTAAAAAATTGACCTATTATATAGAAACATATAAGAGTATTAACTACACTTTATAATTAAAAAAAATCCTTTTTTTGTAGAAAATAAAAGAGCTTTTATGGGACTATTAAGCGGTATCTCTACTCAAGAAATGCACTTTAGGAAGGATGGTATTTGCTAAGGGTTAATCGGTCTTTAAAGATAAAACAAGTACAACTTCTAATAAAAAAAAGCATTTAAGGAAGGTTTTAGGATCTATATTGCTACAAACCAAGCATTTTCTAGAAGCAATAGTCACTGCATTATCTATTATTCCCTTAGAATAGGTCAACACTTTTGATTCTTTGAGAATAGGACATTATTGTTAGTTTCCCTCATTTAGAATAGCTCATTTGATTGTTAGCATCATATTATTAGCTCTCCACTTTTGTTGCTTGTTACCATTATAAAAAAGGCTAAATAAAGGCCCTCCGGTATTGAATAAAGATACAAATAATTTTCTTTAAATGTATTTTTTGCTTCTCCAACTATTTCTCATTTTGCTTTTGCTAACTCTAGAAAGATAACTCATGGCGGGACAAGAGCACGAGGTCAAGGTGTAGGTCGTGAGAATTTCTAAGAATGTAATAGTTTGGTATGAGAGCCTGGTATGGTCGAAGAATAGATCGACCAACGTTTTTGGGACTTGAACACTAGATTGAGAGCATGAGTAGACGGATGACTAAAATACTTCAAACATTTCAAAGTAGGGAGGAATCATCCGCCTCTCGACCTTATCGATTTGCAAGAATTTGAGTGGGGAAGGATCAAAAGGGGTATCGCTCCCAAATTGGTTAAACTAAATTTTCCTCGGTAAAATGGTATGGAGGATCCTATAATCTGGATTGATTGATTAAAATAATTTTTTGACTTTCAAAACACGACCATTGAAGAATAGGCTCAATTAGGAATATTCCATCCGAAAAGGGATGCACAATTATGGGCACAATGACAAAAGAGCTTACACCTAGGTGTTACATCGCCAGCAATGAAAGACAAACTATTTAAGAGGTTTGGTACGTCTACTTTTAAAAATTCATTTGTTGACCTTTGTAAAACCAAATAGGCAAATACCATTTGCAAATATAAAGGGCGGTTTGACGACAGACTAGTCAAAGCGGGGACATTGTTAGATGAACAAGAAGTGGGGGCATTTATTAGTGGCCTCAAGGAATAAATCGAGTTGATGTACTCGGCCGAATGACCTTCCTTCTTAAATGAAGCAATTGGGTTGGCTAGGTGTTCAAAAGCAAATATGGCAAGGCCCAAGACCCACGACTCGGCTCGATGATACATAGGCCTAATGAACCCATCAAAAAGGAACTTCTAGTGTGGAATAAGGCACATGCTCATTTGGTTTCTTCATCTTTGTCAAATCTTTCATCCACTATCTCGTCATTTTACACCAATAAAATTGCAGTAAAAGCACCGACAAGGCTTTTTATTTTCACTATGATGAAGCCATACATAGCGGTCTATGTATGCAAAAAAACTCTTCTTTATTGAGCATGAATAAGAACCTAAGGCAATCCTAGAAGATTTAGCAACATAGAAGATCGAACCACTAGAGATTTCCCTTCACATACTCACCGGCATTCTAACTCCTTAAACCATGTGAGTGCATGCCAAATTAAGAGCGAGTACCATTACAATCCTTATTTATTTGGGATCAATACATAACTTCTTGCATAGGAGAATTGCAAGAGTTGTCGGCCCCTAATCGAACCATAACCACCTTTGAAAATGATGATAGCAAGTGAAGAGAAGCTTGATAGTGTGGGTATTTATAGGTAGGTATCTCTAGTCCTCATTAACTCTCTATTTCAAGTTGATTTTTTGCTCTCTTATTTAGAAGGATGTGATGGTGTGCTGGGAGCACAATGGCTCTAAACTTTCGATTCTATTATCTAAATTTTAGGAATATGGAGATGAAATTTAAAGCAAGATCAAGGGTTATTAAACTAAAGGGACTTAAAACTCATCAAGCTAAATTGGTTTGAGAGAAAGCACTAAGTCAAGCATTAAGTCAAACTTAGGAAAAATGAGCTTTGTTACGGATATCCTTAGACCCCAATCAAGTCATTACGGAACCTCGAAGAATGGAGGAGCACTCAATAAAATTTTTTTGAGGTGTTTTACAAGTTAGACACCTAACTTTCAAACCGATCTCATGATTGTCAAATTCCATTACAAGAGTTATTCAATCATTTATTGCCAAACCATGTCGATACACTCACTTTTAGAAGGAGGAAATTAAGAAAATAGTAACAAAGATGCTCGACCAAGGACTCGTTCGTCTTAGTTAGAGTCCTTTCTTTTCTTCGTGTTACGAGTCGGGAAGAGTGATGGTTCATGGAATTTCGTGGGGACTATTGAGCGAGTAAACTAGATTACTATTAAAGATAAATTTCTAATACCGATGATTGAAGAGTTGTTGGATGAATTATATATAGGGCAAAATGGTTTACCAAGATGGACCTCCGATCGAGGTATCTCTAGATACAAAAGCATCCTGCGGATATTTCTAGATGACTTTTCTTACCCACCACAACTACTATGAATTCCTAGTAATGTCATTCGATCTTTCAAATACTCCCTCTATTTTTCAAGCCCTTATAAATGATATTTTTCAGCAATGCTTGAAGAAAGTTGTTTTGGTTTTCTTCAATGATATCTTGATATATATATATATATATATAACCTAGGACCTAATAGGTCGAGAATATTATTATCGTTAATCTACATGCAAAGTACAATGAATGCAAACTAGCAAGGCATTATGACTTATTCGGAATACTCCGAGGTATAAATTACATTGCGGAAGTCCGATATATGGTGATTAGGTCCTATATTTTGGTTTAAAATGTACTATAAATTTTTCACATTTTATTATTTTATTTCACTTCTTTGAACTAGAACAGTAATTACATGAATGAATCAAAAACCCCAAAATTGGTTATTTAGGCCGAATGATACCATTTAGAAAACCCTAGAAATTTTTTAGTTTTAAGTCTCAATTTCAAGCCTAATTAATCTATTTGAATCTCAATTTCATGAATAACAAGTTTAATTTCATTTCTCTCAATTTTTGTTCATCAAGGACCGTAACCCTAATTTTTCACACTTTATGTAATTAATCAAAATTAAGGCAACTCAATATATTCTAAGCAAACAAAACATTTTTCATGCACATACAATATGCTCAAAATAATTATTTCACATAAAATTTACTATTCATACATCGTAAAATCAATAAAATATTAATTAAGCATAAAAGAACTATTTTTACTAATCCGAATATTTTTTCAAGCCTTTTTAGATTAATTCATGTCTTTAAAACATTTCTCATATGTTTTTAATATTTAATTTTATTAAATTTTAGTTTTAAGAGGTATCGGGTATCACAATATATATCAAGGTTGGAATGAGCATTTGCATTATGTAAAAATTATGGTTTTAATTATGAGGAGCAATAGACTTGTGGTGAAAAAAATACAAGTTTCCCCAAAGACAGGTTCATTATTTGAGGCACATCATTAACGAGCAGTGGTGTTATGGCTGATTCAAAGAAAGTCAATACCATGTTTGATTGGCCTAAACTAAGAATTATCAAGGAGCTAAGAGGATTTTTGGGACTTACGGAGTTACTACAAGAGATTCATAGCAGGCGATGGGGTGATTACAAAGCCTCTAACCAACCTCTTTAAGAAAAATGCCTTCTCATGGAATGAAGAAGCAAAATGAACTTTTGAGCAACTCGAGAAGAAAATGACTCAAGCATGGATCCTAGCTCTATCGCATTTTTTAGTTCCTTTTGTGATCGAATGCAATGCTTTGAGTGCTTGGGGTTAGAGCAGTACTTATGAAAAACCCACGACTACTTGCCTAATTTAGCACCAATTTCTAAGGAAAAAACTTATCCCTCTCTACTTATGAGAAGGAATTAATGGCTCTAGTCCTTGCAGGTACGTAAATGGCGACCATGTCCGATAGAAAGACACTTTATAGTTAGAACCGATCAACAAAGTCTCAAACATTTATAGGAGCAACGAATCACCACCGAACCACAATAATGATGGCTAATTAAGCTTTTTGGGTATGATTTTGGCATTGAGAACAAACAAGGTCATACCAATGTAGCTACCGATGCATTTTCCGGAAGGGGATAAGTTAAACTCCAAGCACTATCATCACCAATATCTCGGTGGCTTAATCTCATTCTTGAAGAAAAGGCGACCATCAAAAGCTTCAAAGACTACTTTAACTTATGCGATAAGGAGAGATCGTAAGGCCCTAGTAGATGAAACAAGGAATTCTTTTCTTTAAAAGGAAAATTTATCTCCCTTAGGACTATGCTCTTATTTCAATATTGTCGTAAGAAATCCATGACAAGTAGCTACGAGGAATAATACAAGACTCTACATCGACTCAAGGAAACTTTCTTTTAGAAAAAAAATGAAGGATGGTCTCCGTCGGTTCATTCGTGAGTGTGACATTTGTCAACGTCACAAGGTTAAGTTGCGTAAACCGAGTAGGGTTACTTCAACCTCTTCCAGATCACCACGTAAATTTAGGCCGATATTTTGATGGACTTTATCGATAGCCTTCCATCATGTCGAGGTAAAAGTACTCTTTTGTGGTAGTTGATAGACTCTCCAAATACTCTCACTTCATTCCCATTGCTCACCCATGCACTCGCTCCAACCATTGCTCGGGTGTTCTTTGATAAAATTTCAAACTCCATGGCATGTCACAATCAATTGTTTGTGATAGAGACCTCACTTCGCAAGTGCTTTTTGGAAGGAATTTTTCAATTTCCAAGGTACCGCATTTAGTTTTAGTTCCGCTTACTACCTATAGATGGATGGCCAAACCGAAGTGGTGAATCAAACTATCAAGATGTATCTTCGTTATTTTACCAATTCTAAGCCTAAGGAATAGACTAAATGGATTGCTTAGGTCGAATACTACTACAACGCTAGTCTTCACTCTACTACTCAGCTCACTTCTTTTAAAGTCCATGGACGACCACCTCCAACACTACTCTTTTACATTCAAAGAACGACCAAAGTTCAAGCTTTAAAAGATTCCTTACTTCGATGAGATAAGGTTCTTCAAGAGCTCCGTACTTGCATTCTCGCCGAACAAAATAGAGTGAAACAAGTCCATAATCGAAATTAGGTAGAGCGAGAATTTCAACAAGGAGATTGGGTTTATGTCAAACTTTAGCCATACAAACAATCAACCATTACTACTTGGGGTTTTGCGGAAGCTTGTCGCTCGATTCTACGACCCCTTCAAAGTGCTAGATATGGGGAAGTAGCCTACAAATTAGAACCACCACCTAATAGCAAAGTTCACCTTGTCTTCTATGTATCAGTATTAAAGAAAAGTTTAAGTAACTCTTATCAAGTTTTTAGCCAACTATTAAAATTCTATGAGGATATTGCCACTATAATAAAAGTGCCCGAAGCCATCTATGAAATTCAAGGGCATGGCAAGAAGCAAGAGTTTTTAGTTCGTTGGTAGGATATTGTCGCCTCGGAGGCAACTTGGGTCAACGCCGCCTCAAAGGCAACTTGGGTCAACAAGACTTCTTTTTTTCAAGATTTCCTAAATTTTCCCGATCCTTCGAGACAAGGATTGTCTTAGCAGGAGAGAGCTGTTACAAACCAGCATCCTCTAGAAGCAATAATCACTCCATTATCTATTTATTCTTTTAGAATTGGTAAACATTTATTAATTCCTTAAGAATAGGTCATTATTGTTAGTTTCTCTCCTTTAGAATAGTTCATTTGATTGTTAGCATCAGATTATTAGCTCTCCATTTTTTATGCGCTTGTTATAGTTGTAAGAAAGGTTTTATAAAGGCCTCACGGTATTGAATAAAGATACGAACAATTTCCTTTGAATATATTATTTGCTTCTACAAACTATTTTTCATCTTGCTTTTGCTAACTCTGTCAAAATAGCTCGTGATAAGACAAGAACGTGAGGTCGAGGTGTAGATCGTGAGAATTTCTAGGAACGTAACATACCTAATAAGAGAAAAATTAAATGATAGTTAATTATTACTCCAGTTCAACCAATTTTATAAATCTGAACAAATTGTTCATATAGAGATAATTTTAAATAAGTGAGACATAAATACAAAATAATACGTTAAGCCACCGTTCAAGCAAGCCTTGTAATTTAATTAAGAAAAAAGGATCCATTGAATTAAAGATAAGCAACCTGAACGTTATATGTAACGGATTGTTGGGATTCAATTTCAGATTGAACAAAAGGCCAAAAATTCAGCTAGACAACTGTGCGTCATGGTGTTTTTTGGACCCGAATACTCGGCCGCAAAACATTTGGTAAATCCAGCACTCAGCCACTCACTATATAAACAAGATTTTAAAAATCCGTCGTGACATTATGCAATGGATTTTGACCCTTTGTTACATTATATTCTATTTTATAATGAGCAACCGTTACGATTGTTATTTATGAGTATAATGCCATTAACATTTTTTTAAAAAATAAAAACTTAATAGTGATTCATTTGTGTTTTTTCCCTCCCCTGATTAATCTTTATTCCTTAGAAAGGCTTTTTCTTGTATTCTTATGTTTAGGCCTATAACAAAACAATTGTTTTAATATATATATATATATATATATATTGTTCATAATTTTTACAAAGGAAAAAGGGTACATACCGTCGCTATTAGAGGAAAACTTTTATGGAAAAACAAGATAAAGAGTATAATTACCACTATCAAACCCGCCCACAACCCTCATTTTAGAGGTATTTAGTTATGTAATGTCTAATAAGGTAAGTTGTTTTTTATAATGACTATTTATATTTTTAAATCTATAAAGTATTAATATTACGTCTTTATACTGAAATTTTGTTGGTGTAGTTTGTATTGAAAGAAAGAAAAGGAAGTCTATCTCTTATAAAAATTTACTAGTCAATTGCTCGCGCTATGCTCGCGGGTTTGATTGAACAAAATCATTTTAAAATTTTAAAATTTTTTCAATTTTTTTTTTGTATCTAATTAATTTTTTTATAATTTTTTTTTGCTTAAAAAAACACAAATCATTATTCTTTATGGATTTATTTTAACTAAAATGTTAATCAAGAATTAAAAAACTTTAAAAATATATTTTTCATAATATTATATTAAAAAAATAAAGTTATAATTTTTATAAAAACTAACGGATGGAAAAAAAATTCTTATTTAATGCTGATGAGAAGATTAATTTTTGAAATTATCCACGCAACGTAACGGATAGATAGAACAAAATTATTTCAAAATTTTATAATTTTTATTTAATTGTTACTATTTTTTTTTTCATACAATTTTTGCTTAAAAAAACATGATTTATTTTTCTTTATTTAGGGATTCCTAAATAAAACTTGTAATATATAATTCAAACCTAAAATATTAATTAAGAATTTAAAAATAAATACTTTAAAAATATATTGTTTTATAAGAAAATATCCAAAAAATAAAGTTACAATTAATGTATAGACTTACATAAAAATTAACTAATAAAAAAATAAAAACTTATTCTTATTTAATGTTGATGAGAAGATTATTTTTTTAAAGTACATATTTTTTATCTATACATATTATATAATCGTTAGTTTATGTAGAAAAAAATAACGATTAATTTTTAAAAATTTTAACACCTAATTAAATAAAAAAAAACATAAATTGATGAAAAAAATAAAAGAAAAAACCAAAGAAAAAAAAACATGTAGTGCATTGGCTAGGGATTAAAATTTTTATTTTAAAATTTCAAGAATCAAAATAAAATAATTTAAAATTAAAAAAAAAAACCTAAGAAAAAAGAAAAAAATAAGAGCAAAATTTTAAAAAGAAAAAAGAAAAAACCTAAGAGTGAATAGCACATTGTGAGGGGGAGAGCATTATTGCCATAAAAAAAATAAAAAATATATTGTTTTATAAGAATATATCGAAAAAAATAAAATTATAATCAATGCATAGACTTACATAAAAATTAATCGGTGAAAAAATAAAATTTTATTCTTATTTAATGTTGATAAGAAGATTTTTTTAAAAAAAATACACATATGATCTATATATATTATATAATCGTCAGTTTATATGAAAAAAGAAGAAGAAGCAATGATTGATTTTTAAAAATTTTAACATCCTATTAAATAAAAAAAGACATAAATTGATGAAAAAACTAAAGAAAAAAAGACATGTAGTGAATCGGATAAGGATTAAAATTTTTATTTTAAAATTTTAGGGACCAAAAATGAAATAATTTGAAATTCATAGAAAAAAAACGTAAGGAAAAAAATAAGAGTGAAAATTACAAAAAAAAAAAAAAAGGTAAGAGTGAATAGTATATTGTGAGGATTAAAAAAAATAAAAAAAGTAGTGAACGAGTACATTGTAAGGGGATGATTTTTAAATTATATACATTTGATCTATATATATTATACAATCATCAACTTGTGTAAACAAAAATAACGATCAATTTTTAAAAAATTTTAACACTTAATTAAATAAAAAAACATAAATTGATGAAAAAACCAAAGAAAAAAAACAAAGAAAAAGAAAAGACATGCAATGCATCGACTAGGGATTAAAATTTTGATCATGTATGATGGAATCATCAAAGATTTGACCTTTTCAAACTCGTCCGTAACTCACTATAGGCTCGAGAAACAAAAAGAAGATGTGTACGAACGATATATCCCGTAACAAGAAGAAGGAAAAGGATTGAATAAAGAGTTGAATAAAGGAACTCTCGAACATCCGACGATCTCGGACGTGTCGATATCAATGGTGGTTCATTATTTCGATGAATCATTTCTTTGGACAGAAGAAGATTATGTAAACACTTACTCGAAATCTCACTTATCAGATTCCATTGTGTCTTCCACAAATTTTTCTGAAGAATTCGCCATGATATATCTGATCCATGCATAATATCATGAAAAATGGATACAATTTTTTGACTGCTACGTAGTATCGGTAATAGGTGGTCTGAAAAGGTATCTAAAAATATCAAATTTAGATATTTGTACCCTATCAAAGTAAGGAACCATGGCATATATGTTTGGATTAGATTCCATTTAGAGAGAGTCAAGAAAGCATTATCTCGTTGAAAGGTTCTATACATTTGCCCTTTTTCAACGTATTTTTTTAGACAAAGACTCGGCTTTTTCCTTTTTTTGGATGGTAAATATTTCTCGGAACATGGAGTGTGAATCAAACCCATGTTTGAATTGAAATTGAGATACCGATGCAAGTTCTTCCCTTTTGAATGAGATAGATTAATATCCGAAAGAGGTGGACAATAAGTTATTTCAAAATTGAATATTTGTCCCTTTGTTAGAGGTGTTCCAGAAACGTCTGCAATAGAATAAATAGCTCTATGAACGAATGGATCGGGTCGAATTGGAAAATGGAAAGATTTGTACAAGCTTTCGTCACCATTTTGTGAAAAATCATTAGGTATGAATATGTTAGATACATGTGACTCGATTGATGAAATAATATCTCTCTCCAAAAAACATGTTTTTTTTTACTACCGCATAAAAAATACTTTGTTGTGAATGAAAGGGATATTGAAGAATTTTTCATACGTAGAATCATAATTCTTAATATGATCCTTTTCCACGTAAAAAAGGATTGGTAAAGTAGGGTTCTCATTGATGGAATTTTTAATTTGTGTCTCAAGTGATAGAGATTGGTAAAAATTCCGCGTACATGCACGTAGAAGTGGTGCCGCTTCTAACAATAGCTAGGGTTTTCTCATATATTCATGAAAATGAGATTTTGAGCACAAGACCATAATAAGTGCTAAAGTAGTTGTAAACTTGTTTAAGAGTTTGGATAGCCTTATGGGTATTGTATATTGGATTCTACAATAAGAATTCAATTTGATTTAATATACATGGGTATTGTATATTGGATTCTACAATAAGAATTCAATTTGATTTAACATACAGATATTAATAATAAAATTCAAATTCTAACACTAGTTAAAAGTTTTAACTACAAAATACCTTCTTGTAAGCATAATATTTTCAAATAAATAAAAAATAGACACATAAAATTTAATGTAGTTTGATAAAATTTTACTTACACCATAAATTCGAAAGTAATTATTTATTGAGAGAAAATTGGTATAAGAATATGATTGTGATTTCTATGAGCCATAAATCCAATTAAAAAATATATATATATTTCATGTACGGATTCTTCTAAGGGGCATTTCAAATAAAGTTACATGTAAAAGATTTTTTTTAATCATTAATCATTTTTATATTTAGTTCATCGATTAGTTATTGTGATAAATTATCTCAAAAATTCTATTTTCTATATTCTCGCTTTAGTTATTTTCTCGATTTTTCCTTTTCAAGTTAGCGACATAATACGTTTAATTTTTGATTGACCATAGAACTGTCTCTAGACCAATAAATCGAAAAAATTGATATCATTAAGAAATAATCATAACTAGTTATATTTAGATAATGAAAATTTAACCTTAGTCTTAGACACATTAAAGTAAGCATCTTGCCATTAAACCATATTTCTTGATGTTCTTCTCGATCTTTTTATATTTTTTCTTTTTTTTGGTAGCTCGAATATTTCTTCAATAAAAATTAGTAAGAAAAAATGAACTTTAAAACTGTTGCTTTCTTCTTTAGTTACTTCAATGTTGGCCTGTTTTTTTAACATAAAGAAGAGGAAAAAACATCATTGTAATATTATTGTAATTAATCACTCAGGACAAATAATACCTCATCTAAGTGGAAATCAATAAGTGTGGATAAATATCAATAAGTGTTAATATATATTATTGTGATCGATGAAAGTACGTAGAATATACGAGTGAATTTTTTTTTTTTTTATAAATCAGTTATGTTTGAACATAAACTCTTTTTACAAATTAGTTATTCTTAAATACAAACTTTTATAAATAAAAAAATAATGAAACTTTAATATAAAAAATTTATTTTAGACTACAAATTGATCATTATCTAATTAGCAACCATCAATTACAAGTTACTATTTCAATTCGATCAATTTGGTCTTCTTACTTTCCACTTTTTATATATTAACAAAAACTTTATTAAAAAAAAAAGAAAAAGAAAAAGAAAATCGCGGTAACACGCGAGTCATGACTAATTGGATTCCTGAAGTATCAAGTGGTGGGTTTTTTTAAAAAACAAGGGAACACCGACCGACCTACGTCTTTGTTACTCTAGAAATTGCCACATCCAATCATCCATCCTTCATCTTATTCAGGTTTTTTTCAAGAAAAAAAAAAAAAAAGGAGAAGCGAGAAAAGAAAAAATTCGGAACGGTTGACACGTGGTGAAACAGTGAAAGATATTTGGTATCTCAATATGCAATAACGTCACATCAGTATCGGACCTTTTTTTGTACCTTTGTTAATCTCCATGTTAAATTCAATCGGTATCAGGGGCGTGTATCTCGTTATGCCAAACGATGAGATCTACACGTCAGATGTGGCCCACGTGTCTATCGAAGAGCAATTTAGATTTGTTGTTTAGGATTCTTATCTACCAAACGCGTCTTCCACGCGTTTGGACAAATTTTGTTAGTGGGTGGTAATTTTATGGAGGGTAAAAACTAAAGGGTAGTTACCATGTGCTGTAGAGCTCCCAAATTATGGTCAAACGATCAGTCATGTCATGCCAGCTGAGCACTGTTAAATATGGATCCAAGGCTGTTTTTTTTTTTTTAACCTTTTAATTATTTAATGCATACATTTACCTATTCTGTTTTTACCATGAAACCATGAAAAAGAGGAACATTCTAACTTTTTTTTTTTATTATTATTATTATTTCTTTTCTGTTTAACCAAGAAAACCCTTTCTTCTATCATGGTCCTTGCTTTGAAAGTGCTGTCCTTTTGTAGTCTAAAAAGTTGCAGTGTTTTGAGTTTTTGGTTCAACAGTAAATATTTGTTTTTGGATTATTATCATTTTGGATTATATATATATATAGTTTGTTTAAAAAAGCTAGCCAATTACTCGGAAAATAAACACTTTTAAAAAGAAAGATAGAAATTTTACTGTAAGGAAAAAAATTGGTGTAAAAAATGCAATTTGATGATAGAAGAGCTGCTTATATAAAAATGATAAAGAAATGCCAACATTGACAAATGTGCGCAGTCATATTAAAATCATAACGCTGGATTAAAAATCGTTCAGATTTTTTCACTTAGATTGATAAAAGAGAATGTTTGATAGAGAGGAAGAATTTGAGAGGAAAAGAAAATCCTTTCATTGATAAGTTGCATAGAAAAACTTGACCTGCAAATCTCTCGTCAACTGACTTACACACAAGAAGAATAAGAAGGAAAATTGAACTAAACAACTAGCTGTGCTGCCAACAACTAAATGAATTAAGAGAAATAATTTGTTAGATATGTAGCTTGCTGTGAAGAAGCCACGTAACGAACTGTTAACGAGAAAGAAAAAAGAGCAATTGCGCATTTATCTGATGAGTTGTTCCATGTGTAAATTAAGGAGTGGTCCGGTAAAATTAATAGATAAAGGAGCATGGCCACATGTTGGTCACATGTTGGTTCAAGGTATTAAGCATGTGATTACCTGTAGCGGTCTAGTGTTTGTACTTCCGTATAGTGCCATTCTTTTTTTTTTTTTTTTAATATCCCTCGAGCATCATAATCTAACTAATTAAATTAATTTCCCGTTATTCTATAAGATATATAAAATAACAATACTTTCACATAATGTCATATTTTTTTATATCCTTCAGGGATCACAATCTAACCATTTAAATTAATTTTTTACTATTATGTTAGATATATAAAACAATAATAACCACGTAACGTTTTTTATATATACAAAAACTCGAATTTAAAATTTATTATTTAAATTATTATTTTTTTTATTTAAGTCAATCCTTTTAAATCGAAAGGGATGATGATGAATCCATGTCTCTTAATGTTGTTATCAATTTCTGTTGTTCAACTTGGAAATTATTGAATTGAACCAAATTGTATTCTTCTTTTTTCTTCTCATTCTCATGTTTATTAAAAGAGACATATATCAGCTATTAGGTACTCGTTGAAAAATAAATTTAATTCTTATAAGCTTTCTAATTCTGAGAATTTTTTTTAACTTATTAGGGAACAATTAAGCATAACCCATCATATAATAAATATAATATAAAAAATTGAAAATATATAATTTACGATAAAAAAAAAAACAAAAGATTGCATTTAATTATGAAGAGCAGTGTGCTGCTATACAGCAATAATACGGTTAATACCCATTCAATCCTGTAAGGGAAATAGTGGGCCTGGTAAACAATAGCATTTGAAAGAGATTGTTCGCAGATAAATAATTAGTACCATTATGAAAACAAAACAAAAGGGGGACAAATTCCTGCACGCACGTTTTGGAAAACTTACTCGGAAACCATCAACGTGTAAGTTCTGTACGACTATGACATTATGGATCTGAATATCGTTAGGTTAGTATCGTGTCAAAAAAAAAAAAAAAAAAGACTTCCTCTAGATAGCGCAGTGTCCTCGATAAATAAAAAATGTAAGTCTATCGAGCTGGCATGTTGAAAATTTTTTGAGATTATAAAAAAATAAATGTAATTATGATCTAAATCATAATCTCAATTATATAATTTTATTTTACTAGGAGCTGCGCATGTTTACGAGACTCATAAATGCGCACGACACAATGATTAAAAAAAAAAATTAATTAGCCACATTATGGCTTATAATAAAATATCGAAACTCTCACTATAATGTTGGAAAACCTGGAAGAAAAAGTAACCATCCAAAACAAAGGTACGTAGATTCTTCTGTAATTAATTTTTAACGAAATTTATATATTGAATGAGAATCTCGTACTTTCAATAAATTAATCTTATCCATAAATCCAATAGTTGAATTAAAAAAAAAAAGAATAAAAGAAAACAACTTTCGGAAAAATTAGTAGCATCACTCGTAAACATTTACTGTAATTATATCCATGTTGACTCCCTTTCGAAAACCTCTTTTAGCTCTATGTGCTGTCCTTGTATCCCATCCAATGTCCTTAAAAATGGCATTTTTTTCACTATAATTAAATAGATAAAAACCCCACCAATTTATCCTACAAATACTTCCACAACTCGTCACTGAGTCACCATCCCTTTGAATTCCATAGCTCTCATATCCCACCTAAAAAACAGGGAGAAAAAAAAAAAGGTTCTCTCCCTCCTCCTCTCGCCCTGGACTATTAATTCAATCTTTGTATCCTATATTTACACTAGTGCTATCCTAATAAAGCAAAACCCTCGTCAAAAACACCCCGAAGCTAAAAGAAAAGAAAAGCTGAGCCAGCGCAAAACTCGCCTGAAGTTGAGACCCTTTGTCCGTTTTTATTGCCTTCTGTAAGGAATATTACTACCTCTTAGCTGCTAGTTTCTGCCTGTCATCCAAATCCATGGAGCTACAACAGTTTCCTATTTCCTAATATCGACAAAAGGGTCATCTGTATAGAGACCCTTTGAGCAAGATATTGTATATATATATATTTTTTCTTTCTTTTTCCTCCTCTTCATCTTCTTGATCGAATTGGATTCTCTATTCAAGAATTATTGGGATTTGTCTTGTTTTTCTGCATTCAAGTGTTACAGAGAATCAAGATCAAAACAAGAGCTACATTTTTCTTCAGTTTCATTTCTTGGTAAAATAATTATTAACATTACCAATCAAACCAACACCAAGAATCAATCTTTTATGTCATTCCCATCATCGACGTCATTGATAAAGCGCCGGCCGCTTTTAGGGCACTCCAGCTCCTCAAGTTCCTCCTGCTGCAGTGGGCGTTTTGGTGAGTTAGCAGGAGGGACAACAGCAGAGTGTGCAGCAATATGTTGCTGTTGTCCATGTGGATTAATTAACCTCTTGGTTCTCACTATCTACAAGGTTCCTGCTGGAATATGCCGCCGTGCTTTGAGAAGAAAACGAAGGCAAAAGGTGATCAAGAAAGGCCTTTTGCCGCCGCGAACGAGGAGTTGTAGATGTGGATGTGATGATACAGAATTACAGATTCATCCAATGTCTTGTGTTGATGATTCATTTAGAGAGTTCGATGAGGAGGTGACCTTAAAGGAGGAGGAAGCCATGGTGAAGTTGGAGAAGGAGATGTGGGAGACTTTCTATGGCACTGGGTTCTGGAGAAGTCCTTCTCAAAAAGAATTACCATTTAAGAGAAGCATTGGTTCTCCAAGAGAGACACCTAAGCTAGACTCTAGAGTATAATTGAATTCAAGATAAAAATTTATAAGCAGAGCTCAAGATTCGGTGTTTGCCTCTTGTTTTCACTACCATTGTTGTTACTTTTCATCTATCTGGTAATTCCATATTATTTTTTTAACTTTCACTTCTTTTCGTCCGCCTTTGTTTTCTGTATTTCAGTGATTTTTGTTCCTGTGAAATGGGGTTCCCTGTGTGCGCTGTACGTTTAAAATAGAGACCAGAGATCTGTGTTAAAAGGTTCAAAAGGTATGAAATCAGGTTTTGCTTATATATGTTTAAAAATGGGCTTCAAGTGTGTGCCTGAGACATCTTAATTTCTTATTTTGATTGTGTTTAATTAAGGAGGAGTTTTGTTTTTTGCTAGTGGACTTTGGCTTTGGCATTTTTCTTTCTCTCTCTTTTGGCATTGATGTTATTGGAGAAGATTAGAGAAGTTTCAAGACTTGAAAGTGACTTGTAATTTGATTAATCTTCAGATTTGATGGCTTTGTTGGTGCGAAAGACTAGATTGAATTTCCTTAAGAAGATAGAATTCATCAATTTGGGACAGTATCTGATAGGATTTTTGACTTTTGAATTATATAATTGAAGCCCTGCCCCTGTTATCGAGTTTTGGAACGAGCCACTTGTCAGTTTAAATTGAACACAATGCCAAGTAGTTTGAAATGAGCCCCTCCCCTATGTATTAATTAACTATGATACAGCTAGCTAGCTTCCATGGGAAAGGCGTGAACATTTAGTCAATTCAGAGGGAGATGTGTGATGCACAGCTAGAGGCTTAAGGCTAAAGAAAAGCTGATATTTTTCGTAAATTTTAAACCAAATGTTGCGTAGCATAAAGTGAGGATAGTTCTTAAGGGACAGTTACATGTTATAATGATCTAGATAAGAAGTGAACTCTGCTAATAATTGGAAGTTTTCTTTACTGCAGGATTTTATATATGTATCTATATATATTATTACATACATTTGTATTAACTTAATTGAAAGCAAGCAATAAAGCCAGTCTGCCCATTTCTTATAGAGGAGCCTAAGTTTGGATCGGTTATGAACAAGGCTAAGTTTGGAATGGTATTTGCATCAGCAATGGGACCCTTGGGGCATGAGTGTTTCAATAAAGTATTCCTTGTAATATTTAAAACCATGCTCCTGAAGCATCTTTATGTGTCCGCAGGCAACAAGAGATTAAAAAAATAAAAACAGCTTATGCGTACTCAAACAAAAGTATAATTGCAATTAGTATAAATTTGCTCACCCTATTCTGCATCTACAATGCATCACTCATAGCAATAACCTAAAATCAAATGTGAAATCTGTATGCTTTGTTCGTATGAAAGGGCAACTAAAAATCCTGCAGAGCTACACAATAAGAAACTAATTCCTTCTGCCAAATAGTTTTGCTAGCCAGAGGAGCTGACATCCACACAAATGTAGAGTGAGATTGTTATGCCATCATGCAAATTGCAATTTAACTTTGAAGATAAGGTTTAACAGACTTGTGAACAAGCTTTGCCCATAATTACCTCTTCTTTATTAAGAAAAAGAGAAATATCACAGGCTCCACCTGATTTGACGATGTACAGTGACATCTAATTAACTTCAACCTCCCCTCGACAAAGATGAACCACATAACTGTTGGTGAGTAATGTGTACTTACTACCACTACATATGCTTTTACTTTAGGGTTGTCCCTTCTATTAAAACGTCAATACATAAATTTTGCTAGCCCCACGTGGTTCTGGTCTGAAGTCTGGACTGCAAGCCTCTGTTGGGTAGGGCGTGTAAACTGTCCTTTTTGTTGCTTATCGGACCAGAGACCCTTAACCTGTCCTAAAAGAGTGGCACTGTTTTGGCCTTCTTGCCTCCTACAATCATATAGGGAACTAGAGAACTAATGTGCTTGTATGGTTTTTTCACTTGAGTTTACTGTCCCACCTACCAAATTGCAGTTGCCATACGTAAAGAGAATTCACTTTTATAACATGCAATAGTAAAAGATTCCATAAATTTTGTACAAGAATCGGCAGTAAGCTCTAAGAAAAAGACAAAACAAGTTTAGATTATGCAAAACATTACATTAAATTACATACTAACTGAATTCGCTGGCTCACGCTCATGTGAAAAGGCAAACAAGAATATTAAAAGGGTAGATCTGAACAAGTTACAGAGGCTAGCTTATTGTATTATCTCTAAGATATTCTTAAGTTAATTGAAAACACATTCCAATCCAACCACTTTGGCTCTCAATTACTTTTATCTCTTTTGACAAATTGGTCAAAGCAAAGCAAAATTGGGAAACTAAAAAGAACATGATCAAAGTCCGAAAGTTGATCCTTAATGAAAAAACAAACAATCTATACTTAAAAGGTGGTCTAAATAAGATTCCCAAAATCATTACATTGACCTAATGGACCATATACCGTATCATGAAAAGTAAGGTTCATCATTCGTGCCAAGACGCCAATGTCCCAACCGTTGTATTTCCTTCAACCTACAAATCACTGAAAAAGAAAAAATCAGTTTGGCCCATTAGTTGTACCTTTCTATTTTATAAGAGAATCCCCATTCTAAGCTTCTCTTATCATTTACTATATATGTATATGTGTGTGTGCAAAATTGAAATGCCCCATCAACTTTCGGCTCTTCATACCCTTACTTTTTGTGAATTAAAACTCTTCCACATAAATTCTTTATGGAAGGATACCTAAAAGTAAAATGCTATGAGAGCAGTGTACAATCAAACACTTTTGAATCATTTAATGGGTCATTAGCCAATCAAGCTAGAAAGTGAATTGTTAATTCATCATAAACAACAATTTTTTTTGGTCAGTAATCGAAAAATCCAAATTAACGTAGCGTACCTAGCTAGTATATTGAAAACTTCCAATATATCATCATATATATATATATAGTGAAAACTACAAATTAAGTCCCTCTCCACCTCCACCTTTTAATGAATTACAGCATTTTACAATGAGGAAATAAATCAGAGCATGGCAAATCGCAACTGAATCCAATATAGGATTCAACCTTGCAGAATAATGGGCCATTCCTTGCATCACCACTACTTGCAATTCCATTGCCCGTAGCACCAACAAAACTAACCTGGATATCACTACATCGGATTCTGAAGTAAAGGGTGTCATCCTTAGCGAATGGCCAATCTCGTTGTTGATCATCGAATCTTGTCCTAACAATAAACTGCAAGTTAAATTAAGATCACCGTCCCTTTCTTCTTATTCTCGGCCATTTCATCCAGAATCAATCTTCCCATCGTGGCTATATCTGTATGATTGGATGATAGCTTCGACTGCATTAACGTTCTAGCTAGTATTTGTTTCCATAGAGAGAGGCTGGGAAAAACCTGAAGCAAGACGATCAGTGAAGAGAACATCTTCCCTATAATATAACGTGCTGTTTCTTACTTCTACATATACTTTAATTCCAGTATTAGGGTTTCTCACAGTCACATTGCTCTCAAAGCTAGGTGTGAATGTTGCAGGAAGGGATGGAGTGATATTTGAAACAGAGAAGTGTTCCACCAGGAACAGGATATTCAGATGGTAGATAGATGAACTAGCTGTGAGCAAGATTGGTAGATAAGTGGGAATATCAAAATACAGCCGAAAGCCAGGCCTAATAGGAAAAAGATCGTTATTATTTCACAAAGTTCTAGTTTTGGTTTTTTGCCATTGACGGCTAAAGGTTCTTGTGTAACCTTTTGGTATCCTATTAAAGAAGGTAATTATCCATCATTGGCGGAAGAACACTTCAGCTATTTTTTTGTGGGATTGGCAGATGCCCTCTTCGGGTTCAAAATTAAGCAAAATGGTATGGCAAAGCTTGTAAAAATAACTGATTTTATTGCGTATGCTAAGTTTTAGCAAAAAGGTAACAAACATGATAGGTTGTTGTGGGATTAATTTGTTCTACAAATTCATTTGCCATTTCGTGCTGACTTGTTTTTCTTTTTTTTTTAACATGCAGTTGGTTAACAATAAACTTCCGAAGACTAAAAAGGAAAAGCTTTTCTGCACAAGCTTTGTAATGTAAAGCTTTTGAGGGAATTTGTAGGTGCGAGGTAATAAAACTTTGAAGGAGGATATGATTCTTTTACGGTTGGTGTAGCAGTAGTGTTTATTAGCGGATGGCGGTAGTGACGGTTGGGATACATATTACGAAACAAGTTTATATGATTAGATAGATAGAGGATTTTAAGATGATTAAATCAGTAAACGGATGAAAATGGTAGCCTAAAAAGGTATAGCATAAGTACGAAGAAAATAATGAACAATAACATTAAAATAAAAGAGTTCAGATCTAAATTTTATGATTTTTTATATAGTCATGTGAAGAAAGTTAAATCGTTTATTCTTTTATTGTCGTTAATTTTAAATTTTGATTAAAAAATAAATATTTTTAATATTAACATTCACTTTTAAACAAACATGATGACAGGATAGTTGTTGTAGATTAAACAAAAGTTATTTAAGCACATTTATTCGATTTATTTATCCAAACAAAAGTTAATTGGGGGAAGGTGTAAACTGTAAACCCTCCGACCGTGCGGCTGGTTGGTCCGTGACACTTCTAGTTGCCAGTATAGAAGTTATTCAGACAGGATTCATTTATCCAGCCTTCTTCTGAGTGGAATAATGGATTAAAATGGACTATAATTCTTCCGTGTGTCATCCTTAAAATGGACATGAAAGTACACCAATATTCTACGTATATCAATAGATGCACAACTACACAACTATTCTAGGTATATCAATAGGTGCACAGGTGCGCATACAGTTTCTTTGTTGAAACCCAAAGGCCATGCTCGATACAAAGTTTGATGATAAGATTTCTTGTGTGGTTCCATGATGACTTGTTTTTCTTCTTTTAGCATGCATTTGGTAGCAATGCACTTTCGAATACGAAAATGGAAAAGCTTTTCTGGACCAGCTAATGTACAGCTTAACTGAGGACGTGCACAAATTGCAAATTTTCAGTTTCTTCATTGAAGCCCAGAGTCCATGTTTCCAAGCCTAGTGATAGTTGATATGATTACTTTCAAAAACAGACTAGAATTTTTGAATGGGGTTGCTCTCTTGATGAAGTCCTCGAACATTTCCGTGCACTCGTGTGCATAAATGGGAAAATAAAGAATTTGGGTCATGGGCCTGAGGTCTTTATCTTTACTGGGCTTGGAATTTTATAGCAAATCATCATGTGCAACTGAGGACGGTCCTAACTCCTATTAGTATTTGGACTCTTTATTTTGTACTATTCTGTGCTTCCACCTTTTTTTATTAATGCATTTCAACAAAATTAATTTTTAATGGCATTTTTTCTGAAAAACTTGCTAAAATAATGTTACGATTGATATACATTATAATGACAGTTTATTATCATACTGGTATTTTGGGCACATGAGTTACATGTGTATCAATAAATAAAAATATTAAAATTAATTTTAAGAAAACGAAAAAATTCAAGAGTTTAAATCCAATAAAATACCATGCAGGAATAAAATATGAATAAAACTAACTATATACAACACAAATACATAAACTAATAAAATTTTTATTCAAAACTCCACTGAATCCTTACATACTTATATAAATATTATAGTTTTTACAAATCCTTTTAATTTAAAGATTTTTGTTTAATATATCGGTGACGATTTTTTGACTAAGGAGTCTTTTTAATATTAGTAGAGTCTGTCAAAAGATACAATTTTTTTTCAAGTAAAAAAAAACATAACAAAAAATCATCATGGATCCCTTATTAAAAAAAGATAACGAAGTTCCAATTTAATAACTTTTTGAATTTTGAAATAATTTTGTTAGTTTATTTATTAACCTAATTTCATGGACATAGGAAATTTTTGTCGTGTCATTGTCTCGTCCTTCACGTAAAGCAATATTTCTTATACCGTTCTTATTTTAAACGAAGATGGGATTTCTCGTCGGGCATAAGTGTCTCGTTTAATTTTATTTTTTTCACTTTGTCCTATTTTTTTTATTCTTAATTTTTAAACTATAATAAAAAAAATAATTTATATAAAAAATATATTTTAAGAGCCAATAATAATAAATTTTATATAGAATATAACTGTAATATAAAAGGGTAGAACAAGGTAAACGGAGCTGGACGGGTAAATGTCATCTCCACCCTCATTCTCATTTAAAATAAATACAGAAAGGGCGCCCCGTTCTCCAGCAACTCGAGTAATCCTTGCGTTGACCTGGATGGGGCAAATTACATCCTTACATGGATAGATCAGCTGAGGGCGAGGATCAATGGTCGTTACAGCGACCTCGTGCTAGATCCGGCAACCAGAGAGGAGGAGCGTTCGTCGGAGACTAATGCAGCCTGTTCCCTCTCAAATCGCCGAAAATCGAATTGAAGGGTGAACAGAAGCTTGAGAAAGTATGCAATGGCAAGGATGATGATTAATAGTATGCATGTCAATTTGAAACTGCTGTGGCATTGGAAGCTGGAAAGCCACTAGTGACAGAGGAAGGAAGGTGGCACAACCTCAAGCTATGGAGGTTCGTTTAAAGATCCTCTTCACTTCCCTCTGCCAAACTGATGTTTACTTCTGGGAAGCCAAGGTGATTCACATTTTCTATTATGATTTGTTTCCACAATCTGGCATTTCCTAGTTGTGTTTTTAGAGATTGATGCTATGATTAACATGGTTAATTTGTTAAATTGCAGGGGCAAACTCCATTGTTTCCTCTCATCTTTGGTCATGAAGCAGGACGGTATGGATACGAACCATTAGTCCATTACTTGCTATGCTTAGATTGTGCTTTTATCTGTTTAAATAGTGATGAATTGAGGTGGCTAATTTGATTTCCTTTGTCCTTTTGGCCTTTATGATTGTTGAGAATGTTGGTGAGGGTGTGACAGACCTCAAACCTGGTGATCATGTCCTTCCTGTCTTTACAGGAGAATGTAAGAGATGCCGACACTGCAAATCAGAAGAGAGTAATATGTGTGGTCTTCTTAGGATTAAAGCTGACCGAGGTTTGATGCTGAATGATGAAAGTCAAGGTTTTCAATTAGAGGGCAGTTTAGATTTTGTTGGTACCTCAGCCTTTAGTTAGTACACTGTGGTTCATGTTGGCCGTGTTGCCAAGATCAACCCAGCTGCTCCTCTTGACAAAGTTTGTGTCCTCAGCTGTGGAATCTCTACAGGTTAGGGACAAAATCCAATTCCAATTTTCTTATATGGATGAAGAATTTATAGCTGTCCTGTAATGGAGATTTGTTTGTTGACTTGTAGTTATGGATGTCCATGAATGTTGCAAAACCAAGGAAAAGCTCGTAGGTAGCCTTTTTTGGACTGGGAGTTGCAGTAAGTTTCTTTTTATAGAACTAGATTAGTTAGCAATTGTCCTATTCAGAATGTGGATACTGATGCAAAAGTTGTTTGTGTTGTTTCTACGTTACAGGCTGCTGAAGGTGCTCGAATTGCTAGTGCTTCAAGAATCATTGCTGCTGAAGGGGCTCGCATTCAATGAAAGGAATTCTTTTTCGTCCATCAGTCTCCAAGTTAAAATTAACTATGTTCAGAATGATTAAATAAGTATACTCCTTTGTCATAGCCTACCATCAGAACTGAATATGATCTCTAGAATGTTTTTGCAAAAAAAGTAAAAAAAGTTGTTCCTTTTGAGTTGATAGAGGTAATTAGAGAACACTAGCATCTGCTTTAGATGCTTAATGGAAAAAGGGATCCTGGCATTTTTGTAGAAATGACAAATTATGGCTTAAGTGAGCTATTTTGCTTGTATTTCTCTTATCTATTAATGATTCTCGGTTAATCTTGGCTTTATTTGAAGCAATTATCAACAAGTTGGGTCCTTTTTTCTTTAATGTGTTTTCAATATGCAAGCATAGCTAATTTCATTGCTTGATTTATCTTATACCCATAAAATTTTAAACTTATTGATGCAATATGCTACTGGATGGCAAAGCTTGTGGAAATAAATGATTTTGTTATGTATGCTAAACTTTTAGCGAAAAGGCTACAATCCTGACATGTTGTTTCTGGGTTAATACATTATGACTTGGTTTTCTTTTTTTAGCATGCAATTAGCTAACAAAAGGGAAAGCTTTTCTGGACAAGCTATGTAATGTACAGCTTTTAAGGGAATTGATAGATGCACAAATGCTTACGCAGTTTCATGTTTGTTACGAACAGCATAAGCTGTTCTGGGATTTGTTGCATTTACCATTCCATAATGACTTGTTTTTCCTCTTTAGCATGTAGTTGATAAAAATTCGAAGACAAATGGAAAAGCTTTTCTAGACCAGCTTTGTACAGCTTAATTTAGAGGGTGCACATGCAGTCTCTTTATTGAAGCCCGAAGGCCATCTTTCCAAGCCGAGTAGTCACTTGATTACTTACAAAAGTTTGGACGGGTTGGCCCTTTTGAAGTTCTGGGACTTGTATTGAGCACACTGTAGAAGCCCACTTGTTCATAGAATGGTTCGCATTAGACGTTTGTGTTTTTTTTTTTTTGTTTTCAGTTTTCTTAGCCTGGTTCTTATATTTTTCTAATTTTTCTTAATGTGGTTTTTTTTCCCCTGAAATCCGGTTAAATTTTTGTTTGGAGATGAAATATGATAAACAAAAAAAAAAAAAAAAAGAGAACCATTTAATTTTTAACAGAGAGAGGACCATATAATTTGCAGTCTGAACGATGAATCCGCAATTGGAAAATTGCATTATAAATGCATTAATTTTTAATATTTTATCAATTCAGTATATGAAATTAAGTTTTTTTTTTTGTACACTAATTTTTTCAAAAATTGTCAATCTAAGTTTTTTTAATTATTATTTTATTAGATGACATGTCATTCCCTCCCTACTATTAACTTAGGATTTTAAATTTTTATTTTTTGAGGAAATTTTTTCTTTTAAATTATTTTTCAATGTTTTATTGGATAAATATATCTATATATCCTTATCTAATACCGAAAATTTCTTATTTGTCTCTACATTTTCAATTGTATTCTATCTATCTTTAAATTTTTTTTGAAATATTCAATTTGTCATCCGGATTAAATTTTCATAAAAATCTTTTGACCAAAATATCCTTTACTAAAATCCAAGAAAAAATAAAGAAAAAAATACTTAAAGTCACATTACTTGCATGTTCCATTTTTAAGTCTTTAGAATTTTATTTTATTTTATTTTTTGCATGCCAATTAAGGATATTTTGATCAAAAAAATTATTTTGCTGAAAAAGTTCAGAATAACAAATTGAACATTTAAAATATTTCAAAAGATAAATGAGATGTAATTAGAAACCTAAAAGCATATAGAAGACTGGGTATTATATAACGATATATAAGTATATTTATCTTTCTTTTTTTAATTTTTTGAATATATAGATAATTTGGATATTTATTTTATAAAAAATAAAAAAAGGATAAACTAATTTGAAAATAAAAGTTTTCTAAAAAAATAAAAAAGCAAAATTATAATTTAATAGTCTGAAAAAAAAATGACACGTCATCTAATGGAGCATTGGATTGAAGTTAGAATGAAAATTTTTGATTAACTGTTTTAGAAACAAAACGTTGACAAATTCAAAAACAAAAACAAAAAAACAAAAAATTATATACTCAAATGAAAAAAAAAAAAAAAAAAACTATAAAAGCTGTTGTGTTCACTGTTGAATTAGTCTAATCGGCAACTGGCACCGCTCTTTCTCATCCCAGCATTAATGATCTGACCTACCTATGATCTGCATTGACCGTAAAGGCACCTTACTAAAATGTCATATTAATCACAGAGGCTACACCGTTCCATAGTTGTCATTTACCACTCCAATAGAAAAGAAGACAATTCAAGAGCCCCCAATTTTGACCTCGTTTAGAATTTACAGCATCAGGAAGTTGAGGGATTTTAACAGCTTTCTTTAGAAAAATAAAATAGAATAATAACCAACTAATAGTATTAGTTGCCCTACCACAGGGTAGACGTGTACATTTGTTTATTGTATCTCATAACATGTACAGGCAAGACAGGTAACCTGAAACAAACTAAACAGGTTTAGAGGGAAATCTGGTGGAGATTTGGTTCTGTAATGAAAACATTAAGAACATATATATTCCTTGATTGTGATTATCATAGAACTGTAGCTTAGGTAAGTTTCTTTTTCTGTAATATTCTTATCTCATTCTTACAGTCCTTGCCTTGCCTTGTATTGTCCAATCATGTGAAACATGATATCGAATTCCAAGTCTTGCTGGTAATTGTCAAGGACTTGTCCTCAGGTCATTTGTGACTTTGGAGCAGTCATGGGTTTTAAAAATTATTGAAGTCTAGAAAGAGGCCCCATGGTGGACTCCAATTTTTGTTGACCAACCTATCCATTATCTCCTCATTTAAGTACTAATCAGATTAGATAATGAAGCTGTAACACGTTCATCAAGTGCCACCAATTTTCTACTCTACCAACAAACAATTTAATATCCCTTTTAGAACCCCAACAGATTTTGTGGATTTTTTTTCCGACCAAGGATTTTTTAATTATTAATATTATTCTTTGCGAGGATTGATTTATGGCTTAAATGATAATCTTTTTTTTTTTTTTTTTTGGTATCCTCATCCTACGTTAGAGATAGAACTAATCATATTCGGACTCAAAGCAACAAGTTTAATAATTTTCAACAATTACAATTCTAAAGATCTTTTGAGCCTCTCTCTCTACCTTATAAATAGGTAGTTTATTTCCATCAAATGACTACGTATGTTAAAAAATTAAAAAGTCTAAAAGAGAAAAATATAGTTTCGTGAAGAAAAATAGTTTCCTAAAGATATACGAGTTCTATAAAATATTTATTTTTGATTGAATCAATTTTCATCATGGATAACTCGTATGTTCTCTTCTAAATTTTATTTATTATGTGAAAAATTATAAAATTCTAAGATCTTGGACAATAAGGTTTATACAAGATTAAGATTTGACTTTGCATAATTATAGAATTTCTAATATGTAGTATCAAAGCCAATAGTTTTGAACTTATAATTTTTCCACTTATGGAATTTTTATTGTAATATTTTTTTTTATTGATAATATTTTCCACTTTGATTGTGCAAGTTTTCCAACTTTGATTGCATGATATTTATGATCTTGAATTATCATGTTTGTATGATATTTATGTTTTTGAATTATCCATATGATATTTAAATTATCCATATATATATATATGATATTTATAATGTGTGTTGAATTGTCTATGTATGATAGTTTTTTTATTTTGAAGAATGCATGTCGGAGAGGAAAAGTTGTGAATTTTGAAAGGCTTATTGTATCATAAAATTATGAACTTTACATCTTTTAATCATTTTGATACATTCTTTTAAAAATAAATAAAAAATATATTAATTAAGCTTTCGATAATCATATTAGCACATGAGACATTTTTCGTCCAAAATTTCGAGTTTACATAAAGTGGCATGATGTGTAGGATGCCACCATGAATTACAATCTACATAAGATGACACATGGCTAAAATTAAAATTTCCTTCCAATGTATGACATGTTGTCTATTAATTCTCATTTGATTTCAAAAATAAATTCCCCACAATACAAACCCAAATCAATTCATAAAAATCCCTAATCTTTTTCTCTTCTTTGCTTGACGAATAAGAATAAGGTCACTTAAAACATACAAGCAATCCTTTATCTTCTTCTAGATTCAAACTATTTTGTTTCATCGTATCCGAGTCATTATGTACCGACCGATTGCAAGGTGTTTAGAGGATAATATGTTTCTAGGTTTAATCATGCGGAATCAAGGCATGATAAAAGAAGAAGAAAAAGTTGCACTTGTTCGCAGCAAAAGACAACCAATCCGACGATTCTAGTCTACCCATAACATTCGAGTCTACAAAGTGTAAACACAAAGAGAGATTGCAAAGCCGATTAGTAGACCCACGTTTGAGTACAATCTATCGAGTTTTTTACATGTCCTTTAGGCCTCTATTGTGTAATTTAAGGTTTTGATTAGATGGACTCTATATTATTTTCTTTTAATTTTTTTATGCATTTTTCAATATGCCTTGCATGGTGGTTTAAAACTAGTGTGAATTGAATGAAAAGCTTTCAATGGTATTGTAGAACATGTATTGATTTAGGTTTGTATTGAAGGGTTTTTGTTCGTTGGGCAAAGAAGAAAAGAAAATTTGGGATTTTTATAAATTGATTTAGATTTGTATTGTGGAGAAATTATTTGTAAATTCGGATGAGGATTACTGGTGACATGTCATCCTTTAGAATTTTTTTTTAATTTTTGGCCGTGTACCATCCTATATGGACTATAATCCACAATGACGTCCTACATGTTATGTCACATCATGTAAACTCAAAATTTTAGACAAAAAATGCCTTATATCTTTTGAAACGAGTCTTTTCTTCGTCTTACAAATAGGTAGTTTATTTTCATCAAATGACTACGTACATTAAAAACTCAAGAAGGCTAAGAGAGAGAAATAGGGTTTCCTGAAGAAAGATAGTTCTTTAAAGATATACAATTTTCTAAAAAAATTATCCCCGATTGAATCAATCTTCATCATGGATAACAATATGTTTTCTTCTAAATTTTATTTATTACATGAAAAATTATAAAGTTTTAAGATCTTGGACAATAAGGTTTATGCAAAATTAAGATTTGACTTACAAAATGAGCTTATAATGTTTATTAATTCTAAACATTAAAATCTCATTTATATAAGCACTCCATATATATTTGGAAAAAAAGGTAAAGTTAAAAGGAAAATCAAGAAAATTTTAATTGGCAATGGTATTTTGGAATCAAATGTGGAATGCTAGGGCAGATACTAAATGGAAGCTTTACTCAATGTGAAAACTCAACGCATATTTGAGATATAGAAAGAACATCTTCCACAAGCAGAAAAGAATATCACAATGCAATATAGATAAGTTATCTTTTTGTAATCTTTATTAAAAATAGATTATGATTATGACAATGATTAGAATAAGGTAAAAACTGCAACAAATATTCTATTTTTTTTGGCTTGCCACTAGTACAGAAATACAAGCATGCATCGCAAAAAGGAGGAAAAAAGAAAAAGGTGGGGTCTAACTGCCAAAGAATATACTTTTGTGAGATGAGATAAGATTCAATTATTTAGAAGTGTGAAAGAAAAGAAATGTCTTCGATGCTGTTATAGTGGTGGTGGTGGCTTTGTTTTCCAACACATAATTATTTTTAATAAAAATATATTATATAATTGGAAAAAATAAAGCAACTACTAACAAACAGACAGAGAAACAAACAAAGAAAAACAACTCGTAAATAAATGAGAACATAATTAAAAGGCAAAGGGTACCCGACCCTGTCTGCCCTTTCTCCTTCCTCTTTATCATCATCATAATCCTTCCCTGAATTCTAGGGTTTCTTTCATGTATCCCTAACACTGTAATAATCTTTATCGTTTCATCAACATCTGTTGATTTCCTTCTTGACCCTTTATTTGGACCATTTCAAATTTCTCTATGGAGGTAAGAAATCCAAGCTTTATTTTCTCTGTCTCTCTATTTTGAAGCTTAATTATATATGTGTGTGTGTAGATTTTTTTATTTTTCTGTTGAAATACTTGAATTGCTTTGATGGGTTTGAATATTTTGATTTTATTGATCAAGTTCTCATCTGGGTTTCATTTTTATGTCCCTGATTCTGAGCTAATGAACTGATTTTTTTTTTCGGGTTTGGAATAAAATATATAAATGACCGCATAGTTATCACGTGAATCTGTAAAGGAAAATTATTTGTTCATGGAAATGAAAATAACATAATAACAAATGTTAAAAAAGAAAACCAGTATTTTTCTTTCTTTGTGATAAAAAGAAAACATGGATGTTAAATTCTTTGTTGGTGCTGAATTCTCATGGAGCCTTATCTGGATTTGTAATAGAGTCACTATTGATTTAGCTTTCTGTGTGGAGTTGATTCTGGTAGATAAGCCCAGCTAGTGGGGATTGAGTTTTTTTTGCCGTGAGTTTGGCTATTGGAATTATGGTGAGAGTTTATAAATTCAGCAGGCTTTGTTAATTTTTTTAGTCGTTTCAACATGCACTACGTGTTGGAATTTTCTTATTGATATAAGATATTAATGATTTTCAACTGTCTGGCAATGTTGTTACATGTGCTCTTTGGCTCAGAAGCTGCATTCCAAAACACTATAAAAGTAAATTTGACTTGTTTCGCTTGTGTGTTGAATGATTTAGTCGGCTGTAACCATTTTGAATTTTGTGGATTTTTGTGTTTTAAAGGTTCTGGAGGTGGATGAAGCAAAGAAACCTGAAGTTCATATGGCATCAGCTGCGGCATTTGTGGAAGGGGGAATCCAGGACTCATGTGATGATGCTTGTAGCATTTGCCTTGAAGAGTTTTGTGAAAGTGATCCCTCAACGGTAATAATTTTTGTAACATTTGCTTCAATTGCCTACTCTTTCCTCTTCATGTACACATGGAATTTCCATGAAGCTTGTTTATTTATATATTGAGTGCATACTTTGTGGCCTAAATTCTGCTTGTCTCTTGCTTGGCAGGTGACTGATTGTAAGCATGAGTTCCATCTTCAATGCATCCTTGAATGGTATGGTGTAATCTGTTTTGATTAACTCTTTCTTCTGTTTTTCGTTTCTGATTCTTCTAGCTTTTTCAAAACATTTTTGCTCGCTTTGTCTGGCTTTCCTTTCTTTTTTAGTTTCACCTTGTACTTGACGTTTGAATTGATGCTTATAGAGTTATAGTTGGCTCAGTAGTAGGTTTGGTTGGAGATAGTTCTAAGTACATATATTGAAGTCTGTGGAATGAACTTAGAGATACAGAGAGGGGTTATTTGTGATTTGGAAACAACAAAGATCTACTAATTATATTGCCTGACATGAATCTCAAAATACATATAACTTTGATTTGACTATATGGTATTTTCTTGGCTCCTTGTGCAACATAAGAAATGGTGTATGGTTTGTTCTGTGTCCAATTAAATTCATAAGAAGTTTTAGTATCCTCTGATTGTACTGTATTGCTACTGTTGTTTGCCACTGTCATCTACTGGTTTTACATGTGCGGTTCTCTTTCTTTTTCATTTTTTATTTTCTTTTGGCTAAGCCTTTGTTGGAGCAGTAGTATTTTATTATGCAATCTTGTTCACATCCATAGAGAGAGCATTAAGAGTTGAATTTGTTTTTGGTCAGTATTTGATCTCCATTTGATATGTGAATTTATTTCACACATTCTTGGTTATAAATTGTCTTGTTTTGGGATGTTTTCTATATTTTTAGCTAAAGTATTTAAGTGTTTTAGGTTTCTTTTTGCTTTTATTTATTAAGGAGGTCAACAATGGGGCAAAACTTATTCCCATTTGGGCTCGGATTTCTGATCCATAACAGTTTGAACACTAATCAGTATTTGGGCCATATCTGGAGTTCTAGACCTTGGATTGCGCCATTCTTTGATTCTTTAGTTCGACTTTGTTCTGACTTCACAGCTATTTTCGAACTACCAAACATCTGAACCGGGCTTGTCTTCCTTAATAACAATTGTAGCCCTCTGTCTTAGCTTTCCACAGAATTAAAGAATGGTGCAATCCAAGGTCTAAAACACTGGATATGGCCCAAATACTGATTAGTGCTCAAACTGTCGCGGATCAGAAATCCGAGCCCAAATGGGAATAAGTTTTGCTCTTTGCTAACATTGTTGAAAAGTCAGCAGTAACTTCTTTCCTACTACTGAACTCAAGTAAATCTTGATTCCAAACTAAATGGTGTTTCGATTCTGCCTAACTGTTTAATTTGGTGGTACCTGTTTTACTAAGCTGACAAGTTTGCCATTTTAAATGTGTAAATATCTCTGTGCTGTCCCTCCCTCTCTTTATCATTTTTCTTATATAATTTCCAATTAATGGCTACCTTATTTCATTAAAGAAATCAAAACTGTGAGAGTACTACCTAGCTTTATGTTAGTTGATGCAAATCACTGTGGTGTGATAGTTGTGATAGTTGATTTACAAAAGGAAGGAAGAATGTTAAATTTTCAACTAATTGTGATTTGTAGGTGTCAGAGAAGCTCTGAGTGCCCCATGTGTTTGCAATCCATTAATCTTAAAGATCCCACCAGGTTGGTTTTGCTGGTTAATGCTTTTGACATTGTCTATGTGATTTGTTGCTCAATTGCATTTCTGAGTCAATTTCACATTGTGGCAGTCAAGAATTGTTTGAGGCTGTAGAACGGGAGAGGAAAATCAGGGCTACTCCATCAAGAAATGCTGCTATTTTTCATCATCCTACCCTTGGGGATTTCGAATTGCAGCATGTCTGTTTTCTATTATTGCTAAAATTCAGTGTTTGTTACTGTTTGGCTAAGACATTGCAAGCTATTTTCAGAGATTAAATTTGACATAAGGTTTGCATTGTGATCCAGCTACCAGTTGGTGTAAGTGATTCGGAACTTGAGGAGCGTATAATCCAGCACCTGGCTGCTGCTGCTGCTATGGGCAGGACCCGCCACTTTGGTAGGAGGGAAGGGCAAAGAAACAGGTCATCTGCCCATGGTCGTCCACACTTCTTGGTATTTTCTGCTCATCCCGGTTCACAGCCTTCTGGTCATGTTTCTTCCTCTCTGACTCAGCTAGGTGGGGAGAATGAACCAGCTCCAGTCTCTGTAGCTAGTCCATCAACACCGCTCACTTCTGGTGGGGATGAACCATCACAGCAAGCCTTACAATTCCCTTCCATTTTAACTGATCAAAGTTCCTCTGCATCTGGATCCACTGTGATACCTGCAAATCGTCAAGGATTTTCCTTTAATAATCGGTATCAATGATTTTCTTTTGTAATCTGTTTGTGAATAATGTTTTTTGTCTGCACAAGGTTTTTCTTTCACTTTGATTTGCTGTATAAACCTGCATGAATTGAATATTTTGCCCCCCCCTTTTTTTTTTTTTTTTGGTTTTGGCAGGAGCACTTCTAGTCAGTCTTCACTGCCAAATCAAGATAGAGCAGGACCATCAGAATTCCAGTCGTTTTCAGAATCTCTAAAATCTAGGCTTAATGCAGTTTCAATGAGGTATAATATATAAAGCGAACACTATTTCCTAGTATTCCTTTGTTTCAAGTTTAGTATACTACCATTTAGTAGGTTTCTAATTTACTACCACATTTACTGTCCTTCAAGGTATAAAGAGTCAATTTCAAGAAATACAAGAGGGTGGAAGGAGAGACTGTTTTCTCGTAACAGTTCAATGTCTGATCTTGGCTCTGAAGTTCGAAGAGAAGTGAATGCAGGAATTGCAACTGTATCTCGTATGATGGAGCGCCTTGAAACCAGAGATAACATTGGAACCAACCAAGTTTCTGTATCAACTAATTTGACTGATCATTCAGTTGCTGACAGGAGCAACAACCAGAATGATGCTGAAACTCACATAGAGAGCCCTTTAAATGAAGGAAGTACTCCAGCTTCTTGTGCTGCAAGTTCAGCATCTACTTAAATTGTTAAGAGTTTCTTCAGCAATTGCATCTGTCCTCAGCATTTCATCTTTGAAGGTGAGTCATGATTTTAGTGTTTAATTTTTAAAATAATTAGTTTGCCACCGACGCACCATTAGATGCCACCATATTTTATTTTCCCTTTTTTCACTAATTTTAATTAGGAGGAGCTTCCAGTAGCTTTGTTTAGTTGAGTGCATGTCTTTGATCTGTAAGTTTGCTTCGTTGATCTCATTCATCTCTACACTATTCATCTATTTCACTGTGAATGTTATGACTGTTATGTTTTCCCATTCTGTGTTTTTTGATGTGCGAGAATTTTCAAGAAACCATCATTCTACTCTTGTTGTTCATGGGAATATTACTAAGGGCAAGGCCAACCAACTTTTTCTAAGTTTCTTAACCTTGGTGCTTATCATATGAACTGCTTCGGGATATTCATTATTTAACATGAGTTTGGTTTCGTTTTTCAGGTTGTAAACCCTTTTACTCCAGATATGACATGCTGAGGAGAAGATGCTGAGCATTACAGGCCAGAGGATGAACATTCACCTGAAATTGAATAAAAAGATAAAAAAGAGGGAGGTCTTTAGAAATGACTTCCATGTGGACTGATATAATATTTGGGTATATGTATGTAAATTTGTTTTATGACCCAGATTTGCTTCGAGGCTAAAGCCAGAACATCCACATGGAAAATGTATTCGAGCTATAATATGTCTGGATGGTTGGATTTTGGTACAAGTTGAACATCAATATATCTAATCATGTATTAAATTTTAGAACTTATTTTACTTGAAGCCTTGTTATGGAAAATTACTTGTTGGCACATATTTTATGACGATGCGTTACATGGCGTTGTGCACAAAACATATGTTCTTTCTGGAAGCGGGTCATGACCTCATAGCGTTACGATAGGGCGAAGTCATTGGGATCTTGTTTCTGTCGCCACCCGACATTTCTGAAACTTCCGAAAAAAATTGATTATATTGATTGAAAATTTTGTTTGCTTAAGAATACCAGTTATTATTAATTTTGAAATTATTACTTAGCATTAAAGGTAAATAGAAACCTAAATGGGTGCATTCTAAGGTAATAAGTTGATTATATTTTTGAAAAAATATCAACCATTCAAGACTTTCTTTCTTGAGAAATGTATTATATCTAATTTAGTCTTAACATTTATTAATTAAAAATTTCAATTTTTTACTAATTCTAAGTTGAAATTCTAAGTTTTATTTCCTAAATCAATTGATTTTTTTTGTTTTTATTTATTACATCATGTTGAATCGATTGTCGAACTCCGTCATTAGAAGTCTTTTCAATTCAAGATCGTATTCAGTTTAAGTTTCAACATAATAGATATATCGAAGAACGATCTAATTACTAAACTATGGTTGATTTGAGTTAACATAAGTTTTTATTAGAGATATGAGAATTTATTAATTTTCGCCTAGCATTTTCTTTATTTTTGGTTCTTTTTGTTGTTTTCCCCCATTTTTTCTCTTTTATATCATTTTATATTATTATTATTATTTTCACCTAGCATTTTTTTTGTTCTTTTACTCTTTTTTTTTTTATGTCTCTTTTATTATTTTTTTAATATTTTTTTATGATGGAAAATCGTCATCAAGACATTACTACAGAAGAGTTGGACTTAGACAAGACTGGAGGAAAAACAGGCTGAATCAAAACCACTTTTGGTTTTGAACCGAAAGAGACAGTGAACATGCGTTCGTTCACTGTCTCAACCATTTGTTTTGGCAACTTGTCAAAACAGTCTTTCAATTTTCAAAATTTTTTACAATCGCAACCCCCAATTCCTTTTAGTTATGTCCTTAATTCCTTTCGATTTTTTTTTCAATTCAACCCCTACTAGCTTTCAATTTCAAGCTGCGATTTAATGCAATTATGCCCCTGATTAAGCATATCTCACAATTTTTGTATTTTCATATTTTTATCTATTTTTGCATTTTTTGAATACAATTAGAAAAATAAACATAAATCAAAATTTGGTTTATGGCAGTTTATAAGCCATTTTAGTTGCTGTAGAGACTTTGTTCTACGGGAGTTGATTATGACGTTGTTAAGAATTCTATTGGAATTGATATGAACTGAAAAGGAACATGGTGATGGGTTCTGGTGCAAATTTAGTTGTAAACAAATTTGAGCTTAAATTTATTCCATGGATTAAGAGCCTTCTGAATTTGGCTGTCTTGTGAAATAGTCTAGGCTTTCTTCTTTGAAAACACGGGAAAATTTTTATTTTTTATGGTTCTCTGGTCGCTAAATGACCTGTAACGCGCCTAGGGCGACAAAACAGGCAGCCCTCCAATTATTTCCGTTGGCCGAAAAACCAACTAGGCATGCTCTGGGACTGGGGTCTCTTCACGAAAGGGTAATCAGCCACTGGCTATGGAGAGCCTAAATCAAGAAGTTGAGGGCCCAAATCCTAAAAGTCCATACTCCAAGTATGGTCAGACTATGACCATATTTTGGAAGCAACACTTGGGCCAATCGTAGGCGTAGCCACAGTTAAAAGAAGGCCTGCCTTGAGTTGCTATTGGGTTTACGGTTTTAAGAATGGACCTTTACATCGATACAGTGTTTTGCAGGAGTGGAGACTGCGACAGCTGTTACAAACCAGTAATGATACGTTTCACAAATTCCAAATTTTAAAAACACAATAACATAATTTGATCCTTGTATTTTGTGAGTTGTTTTGATTAAAATATTATATTCTTTGAGTTATTTTAATTGAATCATTTTATTGAAATCTTATGCATGACGAATGTTATACGTTCAAAAGTATATATATATATAATCTCAATCAAAATAATTTGAGAAAAGAAAAAAAAAGAGAATTATAGTAGAAAAAACATTTTTTACAAAAAAAAAAAAAAAAAAAAACCTTTCTCTCCACTCCATGTATTTCATCACCTTCTTTGCAGTAAAAAAAGGATTTGCTTTCCCCTGTTTTTCAGGCCTATGGTTTATGGTCTCGACCCATAAAATAATGGCCACCAACTTTTTATTTTTTTAAATACCCCTACATATTGCTGTCTTTAGTAAATAAAATGTGCATAGCGAAGGTGTCGGTGAGACTCAAATTTTGGTCAATTTAATCTAATTTTTTTTCGTAAAATAAAATGTGCTAAAAGGGTATTAATGATTAATTAATTAATTAATCAGTACTTCTATTTGAGACAAAGGATGCTACCTACACTCATCCAAAAAGTATCCTTCCAATAATCCAATCCTAATTAATATGTGGGATGGATGGCTGTACCTGTCTCCATAATAGAATCCCATGACATGGGCCCCCCAACTTTTCAATCATGGGTGTTAAGCAATCATGTCTTTATGACATTGATTGATATCTGTATAGTAGCAATATTTTCCAGCTTCCCTTTCCGAGAATGTTCTCATTAGATTAAATTGGACTTTCAATGTGCACCATATTTCCAAAATAAAATGCATGAATCATGTCATAGGTTAATTCCATGTTGCTGCGTTGCCTGATGCTTATTGCATGATTGTTGAGTGACAATGTGGCTTTGCCATTTGATGCAAAGCAGTAAATATGATTGATTATAACAGTCCCATGGAAACTTATGAGTTCGATTCCTACAAATGATGCAAACAATGTAATATTTGATCAGCAAGTAATGAACTTTGCTTCCAATTTTATTTAATATTTGTACATGAGATGGTTTAATTCTGTGTATTTTGATGGTAAGCGCATTCAGTGTTATGAATAGTTACTTCATTATCATTTCTATAAGATACATTTGCAGTCTGATTATATATATATATATATATATATATATATATATATATGGAGGGCATTTTAGAGAGTGTATCATTATAATTAGTCAACCTAGTTGAGAAAAGTGTTAAAATTCGATTCTATTAGGAAAAAAAATGAAATCGAATGAGAATCAAAGAAGATGATTTGGGTCGGAGAAAAACAAAAGGAAAGGAAAGGAGAATAGGAGATATATGAATATTGGGGGTGAAGTCAGCTGAGAGCGACGAGCCATCTGCCGGCGGGCGAGACGTCGCCGTTTGGAGTTTATTGTTTGCCCAAAGAGTAGGCTCACGCATGAACCCGCGCTTAGAGGGCACGTAGAGGTATATCAAATGGAAAACTTGGCGTAGAAATAATGGCATTAATAGAGAGAGAGAGAGAGAGATACACCGACACTTTGCGTTTAACATTACCGCTGCTACTACACGTGAAATGGGTCAGACTCACTTCACATGTTACTGCTAGTAGTAGTTTTGTCATGTTGGGTTATGTTGCCCAGTGTGCTACTATGGAATTTATTTACCATGGTTAATCCAATTCTATATATCTATCCAAATCAATTTAATAACCTCTTTTTTTTCTTTTTAATTTTCTTTTAAATATTTATGTAGCCTTGAACTAAATCGTTTCTTTTTCTTTCCTATATTTGTTAGCTAAGTTACATTGTGTTTGGTGTGAGTGTGGATGCTTTGTCTAAAATTTGATTGGAAACAAATACAACCTTAATTGCAATAAAGTGGATTAGAGAATATCTTCTTTAAAAATATTAAAAATTTGGTGAATAAACGTTGTCTAATGTATTAATTTTTTTTTAACGTTAAATAAAGTCAATTATTTTAAATTAACAGTTAAAGAAACAAATAATAGATATGCGCTTGTGGCCACTTTTATATTTGAATTTTAGGCGTTTTATTTTTCTGAAGTAAAAATAAAAAGAATCCAATTACATATGATAATTGCTGTGATTTTACCATAATTCACAATTTATAAATAGTTTTTGTTTGCTTTATTTCTTATTTTTTAAGAATTTTGTTCAAAGTTTTCACTGGTCATATAAAGTTTTATCATTTTTTTTATGTCCTCTGTTGTATTGTTCTTTACATTTTGTTTTTAAAATCTTTTAAAATTTTGAAACAAATTCCAAAAAACGAAAAATAGCAACGATATAAAAATACAAAAAAACAATAAAGAAAAGAGCTAAATTGAATATATATATATATATATATTTCAGCCTTTGGTTTAGGATCTGGCATATATTAAAAAATATATTTTTTAGTAATACCATGGAGTTCTTCTAATATTCTTTTACCATATGGCAATAACGCCAATCAGTTGAAATGTAATCAAGTAGCATCATTATCTATCTCAAGTTGCAACAATAACGATTTTTTCATCAATCTTCTCCAATTTTTCATAGCAAGGATGGAATATTGATAAGAGTTTCCAAATTCATTACAAAACATAATGTCCAGCCACAAATGATTGGTACTAATATCGAAGCAAGGTTTCCAAAAACGAAAAGAAATGCCTTTGATTCATCTCCAAGCAACACAAAAGTAGCGAAAACGGTGAATAGTCAAAATCAGAAACATATCTGGCCTTGGCGTAGCCTGGCGTGGCTTAAACTAAAAGAAGCTATAGAGGTGTCGAGTTCCCAAAAACTGCGAGCGGCTCAGGACAAATGGTAGCTAGCTAGATTGCTGGTGTTAGTGTAAATGTCAAACAGTTGTCTTCCGTGTGAACCCCACATCCAGCCTGTGCCTGTCCTAACATTACATACCTCAAATAAAGTCTTACCCCACTTTTATAAGTGTTCATTACTTCCCAAGTGAAGTCTCTCTCCTCGTCTCACTTTTCCCTTCTCTAAGCAAAACCCAACCCTCCAGAGTCCAGTCTACACCACCCCCAATAGGCCACCCAAACTACCCTCCTACCCTCCACAAAAGCAACCATTTAACCAAAAGCCAGAGAAAACCAAAAAATTTCTCATCTTTCTCTTCCAAGTTCCGATCTTTGTCTTTGAGCACCATGGATTCTCACATCTATGGTGTCTCCAAGAAAACCCTTTTTTTCTTTACTCTTCTTTGTCTTTCCGTTTACTCTATCTCTGCATTGCCCCATCAGAATAAAACTGGCAATAGTACGGGTACGGGTCAGATGATAAACTCCAACTCGGTGCTTGTTGCGCTTCTTGATTCACATTACACTGAGTTAGCTGAGCTCGTTGAAAAAGCTCTCCTTCTACAAACCCTCGAAGAAGCTGTTGGCAAACACAACGTCACCATCTTTGCACCAAGAAATGAAGCTTTAGAGCGTCAACTTGACCCCGAATTCAAACGGTTTTTACTTGAACCCGGTAATCTCAAATCTCTCCAAACCCTCTTGTTGTTCCACATTATCCCCCTACGGGTCGGATCCAATGACTGGCCGGGTCGCAAGTCAAACCCCACAAGACACACAACACTCTGCAACGACCATCTGCACTTAATCACCAAGAATTCAGGCGAAAAGCTTGTCGGATCCGCCGAACTGACTCGACCCGACGACGTGACCCGACCAGATGGTGTTATTCACGGCATTGAGCGGCTTCTGATCCCACAGTCAGTTCAGGAAGACTTCAACAGGAGAAGAAATCTGAGATCCATATCAGCTGTATTGCCTCAAGGAGCACCAGAATTTGATCCCAGAACCCACAGATTGAAAAAACCCGAACCACCAGCTCGCGCAGGGTCCCCCCTGTTTTGCCCATTTATGATGCCATGGCTCCTGGACCATCATTGGCTCCCGCCCCGGCTCCAGGACCCGGTGGACCACACCACCATTTCGACGGAGAAAGCCAAGTCAAAGACTTCATACAGACACTACTATTTTATGGTGGCTACAATGAAATGGCTGATATTTTGGTGAACTTGACTTCATTAGCCACTGAAATGGGCAGGTTAGTATCTGAAGGTTACGTGCTTACGGTTTTGGCACCAAATGATGAAGCCATGGCTAAGTTAACAACAGACCAGTTGAGTGAACCAGGGGCACCAGAGCAGATTATTTATTACCATATAATCCCTGAGTACCAAACTGAAGAGAGTATGTATAATGCTGTTAGGAGGTTTGGGAAAATAGGGTATGATACGTTAAGGTTGCCACATAAAGTTGTGGCCCAAGAAGCTGATGGGTCGGTTAAGTTCGGGTCCGGTGATGGGTCGGCTTATTTGTTTGACCCGGATATTTATACAGATGGGAGGATTTCAGTTCAAGGGATTGATGGGGTTTTGTTTCCTGAAGTTGAGAAAGAAAGTACTTCTGTTAAGAAATCCGTCAGCCCTGTTAAGGTTGCCACTACCAAGCCAAGAAGAGGTATACTTTTGTTATTTTTGGTTAATTTGTTCTTTTGATTGTTTGTTATGGATCTAATTTCCTTGATAAGTTTGATTTTTCTTTATAAGCTTAGCTTAGCTCAGTGAATTGTTAGTGCTAATTTAGATTATAGGTTCATTATGGGTATATTTTTTCCTTTTTGGATTAGTAACCAACAATTTGTGGGGTTAGGATGTGTTAATTATGGATGAGGGCGATTTTTTTTAATGAGTGGTAAGTTAGGTGAAATTTTGTTAGGGATGGGATTGAACTCTTGCCAAAAGTTTTGGTATGTGTGGTTATGATTGATGTCGGTGATGGAGCAGATGGAATCATGGAATAGGCAATTGTTAATAGTGGTCTTTTTAGCTTTTGATAACCTTGTCTAATAGCTTAGCATATGGTGGAACAGGAGATAGCTTGGCTGTCTAGCACTGAGGGGTCCAGATTGCTGTGAAAGGAATTGGATAAATGACTGAGTGGAGGGTTAAAGTGTCTAAAATTGTCTATATGTTAGGTTCAATCTCTTTCTCGGCAATTTATTTTTTTGGTTTTTGGTGAAGAGGGAATTGGGCCATGGAGTTAAGCTGTCAATTCGCAGTAAGTTCTAATGATGAAGGTTGTTGTCGATATTTTAGAGGATTGCCAATCCAGTGGTTTTAGCCTGGATAGCAGAAGCTTAATAAAACAGTGCTGGAGGATTCGTCGGTGCGAAACAGAGATGAATATGGCCTGGGTTATACAGTTTTGAGTTTGTGATAAAAAGTCAATTATCTTGAGTGAAAAACAAAGTTTTAGATGGATAAAAATTAGGGTTCTAAATAATGTGGTCTACAATTATTTGCAGGAATTCTATGGTCCCTGCCACCGACGAATCAATGTGATTAAAGTACACCAAAATGGAAAATTAAAAAAAAAAAAAATCCAGGGTTTCCTAGCTGTGAGCCACATTATTATACCCCACCACAACTAAGATGCGTACAACAGCTTTGCTTGTCTATAATTAAGTTCCATACCATATTCTGGCATTTCTTTTATTTTGTGGAATATCTGTACAATTTAGCTGTCATGATTTGTTTTGTTTGCTGACCTGAATATATTAGTCTGGGTGTGTAGTTGAGTTGAGACATTGTTTAATTACTAAAGATTTTAATATTTCAATCTATGATTAATTTTGTTGCTTACTTTAATCTTAATTATGCATGTGATGTTGAAACATTAACATGACTTGACTTTGTCTTGCAGGGAAATTAATGGAAGTAGCTTGTAGAATGCTTGGAACTTTTGGACAGGATTCACATTTCACTACATGTCAATGAATATACACAGCCAAAATCTCAACAGAGTAAAGATGGAACCATCAAAACAATAGAGAAATGGTAATGACTGCTTCAATATTAAGCTCTGAAATATTGTTTGAATGTTTTTTTTTCTTTTGCTAACATTTTTTTTTAATCGTGTAATTGCAGGAAGAACTTTGTGAAATACAAAAACAATGGAAGGGATGAATTTGCCTGTATGATTCCCCTGAATCCCAGCCATGAGGAAGAGTTTGTTGTTATTTTGTTATAAATACTGTAATTACACATCATTTTTTAATTATTTTTTAATGTATGAACAAAACTTGGAAAACTACCCCCTTTTTTTTTTTTTTTGGTCAGTTTTGTTTTCATCACGGGCTGCCTTCTTTTTGCCTGTCTAAGATCCACTGCTTGTGAATCAAACTTGAAACTTTCTCTATTTTTCTCTCATAAATTGTTAAAGTTCGAGAAAGAAGACCTATAATTGGTCTCGAGATTTTGTTTAATAAATAAAAATGGCTGTTGTGGTGAATGGTGATGGTGAGGTGGAGGTTGTATGATCAATACTACTCCGGTTTAGACCGCACAGCCAAGGGGGTCCTTCAAGTTGGTGCTTTTTGTTGCCATGTTAAAAAGATCAAAAAAGAAAAACGAAAAAAGCTGTCATTATCCCATATTTGTTTAATTTTCTCAATGAAAGAAAATATATTTATTCATCAAATTTATCCCATATTGGTTTAATGACTCTGAAATCAATAACAAATTGGGAGGGGGTTTAGGGATTGCTTTTCATTTGATTAATTAACGTAAAGCATTTTTTTAAAAAAGTTAATGAACCTAACAAAAGCAAAGCCAATTGACCTAAGAAAACAAAGAAATGAGAATAGAAACTGCTGAAAACCAAAAACAGGGCATGGGATGGGATGGGATGGCTAGACTGGTAGACGACACCAAAGCATATTGCTGGATCCACCTGGCAAGTAGGTAGCAAAATTATTCCACTTCCCGAGGCTTTCTTTTTCTCGTAGATTAGATATTAGTGGAAATTTGTTCATTCTATAGGGTGGGACAGGGACAAGAGGCTGAGTTTTTTTTTTTTTTTTCCTTTTTCAAGCAGGAATAACATGGACAGAATCGCAATAAATAAATGTGCATTAGCTATTTATAGTATTTTATAAAAAAATTTAAAATTAGATGATTAAAAATATTTTAAAAAATAAAATAATATTATTTTGACATTTTAAATAATGATGAATGTATTGATCATTTTACATAATAAAAATTTTAAATTTTAAATTATATTTATCTAATTTTTAATATTTTAAAATCATCACATCACAGTTTGTGGTTAAACCGTGGAAAAAGCTTTGTCGGACCCTACAAGCATCATAGCCCCTAGGATGCAAGGACATACGTGGAAAGGTCGTACCCATTTTATTTATAATTATATACTCTATGTGGAATATTTGAATATTGTGTCGGTTCACATACATCTAAACAACCATATAAAATTAATCATAAGGGAGATAATCTAAACTCCTAAGTTTTTTTAAGCTCTCTCATTGAAGTTTAATCGTATATATTTTTGAATATCACAATAATTTAAAATTTTTGTAAGGACCAAAAAGGCTTTGAATTCATTTGTTAATCAAATTTAAATTATTCAGATTGATTTATAATAGGAAAAGTGGAAATTTTTTTAATTAAAAGATTAAAACTATTTTGCCGTAATGTTTTATTTTTAAAGAATTTCCCTACAATTTTTCTTTTTTTATAAACTATTATCATTGCCCTAATTGCCAATAGACATTGTTCAATTTTGCCGTTACTTTTATTTTTTAATAAACTATTTGCGGCAATTAACAAAATCTCTAATAGAAGACATTGTTTTATAGCAGGAAAAAAATGTGATCTTCCTGTAGCCATTTAATACAACATTGTGCAAACAAATCAATAGTATTGAAAAACACATAACAAATCAACGATATATAGGAGTAGTATTAATTAAGACTGAATAAATTTATCATTTCATTCTACTATGCAAGAACAAGCCAACACAAATTATTAATTGTCAAAATATATTGAGTTAATAATCTTACATATTATATAATAATTTAAGTTTTCAATATAACGATTCAAGTTTCTAATATGTGGTTATGTTTTAAAACGTTTTTATTATGTTCATATTATTTTAAATTAGTTTTTAATCTATTTTTGAATAATTTTTTCCACAAAACCATCAAAAACTAACAACTTGATTTGAATATAATTTTTTTTTTGACGAAAATGTCACACACGTCATTTTTTTTTCCGTTTTCTTATTATTATTTTTTTTCCCTTTCTCTTCCTCCTTTCTTCACCATACCAAATTCACAAGCATCCGTTTATGCCTTTAAGTAACAATTCTCGTCAGGATCAAGGCACAAGTAATTCTGAAGAGAGCCCTTTGTACATGACACGTCGAGGCACCCCAGTCTCCTAGTCACCAACCACGGGTGAAAAGTTCATACTTCCTTTCTATTAAAAGAGAGAGGAAGAGGGAGAGGGAGAGAGCGAAAGGAGAAAGAAAGAGGGTGGCAGCCATGGTGGAGAAAGAAGAGGAAGAGGAAGAAAAAGAAAAAGAAATAACCTAAGGGGTATTTTTCAAAAAAAAAAAAAAAAAAGATGTGCAAGTCATATGATATTTTGAGGTGTTTTGGTAAAAAAAAATTAATCGAACAAAACAAACTCGACAACTAACTAAAATAATGTAGACATAATAGGGTCTAATGGCAAATTTTGCTTTCATTTTATTACGATTTGACAATTTCAAACTCATAGTATCAAAATACGTAATTTGAATCCTAAGTATTGAAAATTGAGTAAATATGATTCAAATTGTCTAATCTCCATTATATTTAACGATCAACCTGGATTAGTCGTTATTTGAAATGTCAAAATGACGTCATTTTGACATTAGGTCGTTAATTATATTTAAAAAAAAAGATTTTAAAAATGTTTTTAACCTCCTTAATCTTGAAATTTTTTTCCCCTTATTTTAATATTTTATAAATGACATAAAATAAATTTTATAAATATTTTAACCCCCTAATTTTTTATTTTTTATTTTATAAAATGCTATTGTAAAAAATAATAATAATTAACAATACACAATTTCAGATCTTAAAAAAACAAATGAAAATGAGCATAATTAAGGGTTGAGCCTCCCTAATTTTATAAATTATAATTTTTTTCTTATAAAATATTTATTATATTTTATAAAAAAAGTTCAAAATTAGGGAGGTTATATATATATATATATATATATATATATATATATATATATATATATATATATATATATATATAATGTTTATAATATTTTATAAGAAAAAGGATTTTTAAAAGAAATTCAAGATTATGAGGTTAAAAATAGTTTTTATTTTTTTAAAAATAATAATTAATAGCAGAATGCCAAAATGAAATCATTTTGGCATTCAATTTACCATTACACTTAAAAGGAGATTGGGTAATTTAAATTACATTTGCCCAATCTTCAATACTTTGATGTTCAAATTATGCGAGTTGGTGCTATACATTCAAAATTGTCAAATCGCAATAAAATGAGATAAAATTTGCCTTTAAACTGACAAAAGTATTAACCAGCAATATATTTATAAAACAATATTTCTTAAGAAAACTAACCGAAATATATAATGTGAATTAATTAGAATATCATTCAATTTTTTTTGGGTACACATATATGAGGTGCTTATTCTAAATAATATGATAATTTGCAATGCTTTAATTACCATTGAGATTTCTATTTTAGAAACCTACCATTATTTGTGCGAGTTAAAAAAAAAAAAAAGGTTTTTGTATGTTTGTTTGGAGTGGAGTATATAAATTCCAATATATAGATCTATAATTACAAATTATAATCCATAAAAAGTGGTTTGAGGATACCTTAAGTTTTTAGTTGGATGTTCACGATAACCATAAATAAATTATTGTTATTAATCAAAGCTAAACTCACCATCGTTTACTTGGTTTTTATTAAATAACATTTATAAAGTTAATTGGAGAAAAACAACTCATTATACAACACTTCATAAAAAATTCTCCCTATACATGATACAGAGAAGATAAAGTCTTTTTATTTTTATTTTTTTTATTTGAGAATTGAAGTAAATATATATTAACATTTTCAATTATATCATTTAATAACGCAATTAACTCTCTAATTGTTAATAAATTTATGCTCAAGCTATACTATTCCTAACTTTGAGAAGCCAGCATTTGCTACTTTAATATATATATATATATATATATATAGTGGAGTATTCTCGGATCACTTTTTGATCGATCATGACTAAGTTTATTATTTTTTGAGCTAAATCGGTGTTAGAATACACTTAATTTTGCCAAAATACACTTGGCTTTTTGTCAACTATTGGACTCTTTTTCAAACTAAATCAACCTAAGTATGATATAATTAAAAAATAATTATGACTAGTTATACATGGATTGTGAGAATTAAACCATGATCTTAATCAAATCAAGACTATTTCTACTCTATTTGATGAGGTGCAAACATGAACTAAACATCCAATGTCAAACTATAAATTATGATTGACATGTATTTTAAAATAATGTAACGGATATTTTTGTTATAGTACCAAATATTAATGATAACAAATTCTATTGCATTTTTTTTATTACTTTGATATGTTAGAAAATAGTGTGAATACATATAAGTGAGTGTTACTTTAACACTTATAAGTTCTATTAGAATTCTGACTAATAATTTTGTTATTTATTATCACATTTATATAATATTTGCTTGATATAAGACTCTGTTTGTATTGAATTTTAAATAAATTAATGATTAGATTAATTTTTTTTTATGAGTTTAATTGTTTATACCTGAGTTTCTTAGTTAGTTATACGTGAGTTTCTTAGTTAGTTGATAGTAAGATTCAATGGTTTGTTTTATGTTTCGTAACTGTAAAAGCAACAAGGTTAATTCTTTCAAAATAAATAATACTATATAGGTAATGCAATTATTTGTAATGTATGGAAATCTTCCTTTTTTTTTTTTTTTTTTGAGACTGAATGAATAACATTATATAGATAATACACTTATTTGTAATATATAGAATTTTTTTTTGAGACTGTTGTATGAAGAAAATAATAATATACTTTAAATGAAATTATTTGAAGATCAAAATTTGAGTTAGATTAGTTTATAACTAGTCGAATACCCGCACTACGTTGTAGATAGACAATCGTTACATATATAGGATTAACGAGTTCATATGATGTAATGCCAGTAGAAAGTTTTATTTTTTGTGATTAATATAAATTGAATCTATATATAGTTAATTTGTAATATATATATATATATATATATATATATATATATATATATATATTGAATATTGAGAGTATAGAGAATAAATAAAAAAATATACAAAAAAACCCACCTAAATTATAGAAATATATTGAAGTCAATAGATTAAAATAAAAACTACAACAAAATTGGTTCCGATAAATTCTGAATAAATAAATAAATAAATAAATAAATAAAATATATATAAAACTTATGAATTTTTTAACTCATTATTTAAAAAAAAATTGAGTTAAACTATCTAAAATATACTTTTGTCCGTCCGTCCGTCATCGTCTGTCTATCTCTCTCTCTCTCTCTCTCTCTCTCTCTCTCTCTCTCTCTCTCTCTCTCTCTCTCTCTCTCTCTATATATATATATATATTAAAAAATAAAACACTCATTTAAAAATATAAAAATAATTTATTGTATAAATTATAATAATATATTTTTAAAAAATAGAACATTGACGTTGTAAAATTTTATCTCAAAATTCGTATATTAAAAAAGCAAATTTATTAAGAAATAAAATTATATGAAAAAAATTTATTAACAAATAAAATTATATCAAAAAATTATCGGTCATTATAAATTTACAATTAAAAAAAATTTTTCAAAATGGCCATTGTAACATAAAAATATGTTTGTTAATCATGAGCTCTGTATGTATGTATGTATAAAAGGAAAGAATGCCGAGCACCAAGGCTTGGGTCTAAGAAAAATAAAAAATAAAAAATGGGAGGCTACCAGGTGGGCAACCTTGGTCACCCCCCCCCCCCCAAAAAAAAAAAAAAAAAAAAAAAGGAGGAAGAACTGAAGTATTACTCATTACTGTAGACAGACCCTAGTTGTTTTTTAATTATATTGTAATATGAATATTGTAATAGTGATTTAAAAAATGAAAGAAAAGGATTATTGTGAGATGGTTATTAACTTTTATATTGATAAGTCTGTTTAAAAATATATATTATTCGACAATAAGGATATTTTTTAATTAATTTATGTATCAATTAAGACTAAATTACTTCTCAAACGATCTTAATTGCATGCCTTCCACATCGGCCTGGTGTACTTAGAAAATTTTAATAAATTCTTTTAGATATTAGTTCTAAAATTTAAATCCAAAAAATTAAGAAACACGACAAATTTTCTTAACTATCAGATCAATCCCTTATGATTATAAATGTGCATTTGATAATACACTAAGCATGCATAATAAAACCTAATAAGACATTGACCAAGTGGTTACTGACTCAAAACAAATGAGTTGGAATGCTATGCTGAAATTACTCAACACCCCTAAACTTAAATGAATTAAAATAAGAAAATAAAGAAGAAAGAATTTGTAGAACCAATGATTATCATTTTTTTAAAGATAATTTAGCTACCTTGTAAAATAACATTTTTTTTAATAATCATTGATTTTTTTGAGAATGATTTTATTCATTAAATTTATTTTTTTTACTAATTAAAACTATCATTTGGTAGTCAATGTTGCCATGTGGTGTCCTATTAAACTTAAAGAGATTTTTTTTTTTTTCTGAAAGATAGGAATTTGTAGCCCACATTAATTATTAGACGTTAAAAAATTAGTATTAATAGTTAATAATTATCAAAAAATAGAAAAAAATCGTATTACAATAGCGAATTAAATTGACTATCACTATAAAAATAAGAATAAGTTATTAAGGCCTCCTCTTATAATATGACTTAAAAAAAAGTCTTACTGAGTACAAGAAATTTACTACAACTAAACGACAAATCTATTGGTCACTTAAAAGGGAATCAAATTTAGGCTATAGCAATAAAAGAAATTAGGGTGAATTGATTCCTTTTCTCGCAATAACATTTTCAATATAAGTTACCAGGATATATACATGCTTGCAAATTAAATAAAAATATTTAACAATGAATTCCAATTAATTTAGATAATGCCAAAAAAATTAACAATGCTATAATTTTCAGCTAAATAAAATTTTAATTTTTTATATATTTATTTTTTTCACGTAATATTTTTACAAAAATAGCGTGACCTTAGTGTTTATATTGAATGCGCAATAAGATATCATCGGTTTAGTCAATATTGATCAAGTGCATGTAACAATCTAAACTAATCATAGTTAAATCTCCATACTTTATGGGCGAATGTACATCCGATTTTCACAATTCTTGTAAGCTATAATGTTTATGGTGAAAAATTAAAATTATTATTTTTTATTGGTTCACATGTAAAACAAATTTTCCTTGTATTAGATCTCTTTTAATTGTTTCAGCTAAATAAAATTTTAATTTTTTATATATTTATTTTTTCACGTAATATTTTTACAACAATAGCGTGACCTTAGTGGTTATATTGAATACGCAAAAAGATATCATCGGTTTAGTCAATATTGATCAAGTGCATGTAACAATCTAAACTAATCATGGTTAAATCTCCATACTTTATGTGCGAATGTACATCCGATTTTCATAATTCTTGTAAGCTATAATGTTTATGGTGAAAAATCAAAATTATTATTTTTTATTGGTTCACATGTAAAACAAATTTTGTTTGTATTAAATCTCTTTTAATTGTTTCATACCTAATTGTTTGCCAAATATTTCTTTTCTTTTCCTCAATAAATTAGGCTGAGTTTCTTTTCCTAAATAAGTAAGATAATTATGTGTCCATGCAAGCTTTTACAATTAGAATCGCTCAATGTTGTATACATTTATCTATGATTCTAACTTCATATCATGTGTATCTGGCATAATCATACATATATATGTGTGTGTGGATTAGTTTTTTCATTAATTGAGATTATGAAATAATTATATGTCCATGCAAACTTTTACAATTAGAATCCCTTCATGCTATGTATTTATCAATAATTCTAACTTAATATTATTTGTAGCTTGCATATATATATATTGAAATTTCTTTAAATCAATATTTGTATCAACCGAGACTAAATTTATTATTTATCGAGTTAAGTTAGAGTGAGATTATGTCTAGTTTTCATTTGATTCTAAACTTTTCTAAATGTCAAATTCTTTGAGTCCGCTAATAGCTCATATATGGTGTCACAAAAAAAAAAAAAAAAAAACCTTTCAAAGGTGTGAATCTAGACTTAATGAGCTAAAGACACTCTTCTTACTACTCTACCTGTAACCTTTAGTGATATCTAACAGAAAATTATAAGAAAGAAAGTAAAAGAATGTATATATAATATAGCAATAGTGGCACTATAATCTTTTTAAAGTAATTATTTTACAAATATATCGGACATAATTATCTTTGTCAACTTATCATGTAATATTGTTGAGAAAATAAGAAAAAAAACTAAAATGTTAAAAAAAAAAAAGAATTAAAATGATTGTAGAAGAAATTAAAGAAAATAAAAAATAAACTATAGAAAAATCAATAATGTGTGATGACCTTGCCATATATGAATGGTTAAGTGACTAATACTTTAAAATCATAAAATTGTTTATTAGTATGCAATATTGTTAAATTAAATAATTTGGTATTTATTACTACTTCGCCCATTGGAAGAAGAGAGAACAAAACAAATCACAAGCCGAGCACGTCACATAACCACTAGTTATTACGAAAAGAAAAATCATGCAGCAAATAATATGGCCTCAATAAAAATCAATGGGATTAAACATTGCACAAACGATACTTGTACATTGAGCCACCGAATCAGTTTTCGTTTAAAGATTCAGCTTTAGATCGTTGATGATATATTCATGAGACAGCCTCTTCTTAATTTTGAATACGAGATGCTAACGTGAAGAGAAAACTTGCTCATCATTTAAATCAGCACATGAATGGCAACATTTTAGTCTTAATCAAACAGACAACTCCAGTTTCATAATGAGTTGATCTTGGCAGTAATCAATCATCGTCACCCATTTGGACACTCCAACTCTCCAAGCAAGATGTGGCTACCCTCGATACCAATATCACTACTCACTCCATGCCATCAATAGCACGGAGAAACTGGCTTTCATTATGAATTTAGCTTTTTACAACACCAACTAGTGTGAGGGCGAGGGCTGGGAAATTAATGAGATTGGAATGAGCTTTCCAAGTCACCTTGGCAATGTGTCCAAATCACAGAAATAAAGAAGTTTGGTGGGATTTCAATTAAGTTAAAATCTTTACTCAACAGCAATCACATTTTGCTTTGCAAACAAAAGAAGCTTTACCTTTTCATGAGCCTCCTTTTGTCATTGTTATGTGCTGCCCATCCTTTCAGTTTTCAACATCAAACTTCACCTTCTACAACTTACAGCTTCATAATTGCTTCACCTATTTTTTATTCTGGGATAATGATTAACCACACTAGTCACTTGCAGCTTGTTCCATTGAAAAAGGGAGTCTTCCAAAGAATTGGTGGAGACACATGCTTGTATATCCAAATGTTTATCGTTACTGGTTGCATTAAAAGGCCAGCAATTTAAGCCTGCCTAGGATAGAAGAAGACTAATAAAGTTACAAAAAATTCTGCCAAACATTTCAATAAAATTTAACAAAAGAATACAAGCTTATATTGATAAGGAATCCATGCTCAATTGGTAGATTTATGTTAATTTTGACAAGTACCCCAAAAAATGCCATATACCCTAACATACAACCAGACTATTCACAACAACATGGAACTTTAAAAAAAAAAAAAAATATTATAGACACAAGATAAAATAACCAAGTTCTCACCCTCCAACTGTGACTTCAGGGAGCATAATCTCAGGATTGGATGAGGACAATAACAGTTCATCGTTCTGAGTAATGTTTTCAGGCATGGTCTCAATTCCATTCTCACATGCAGGAACGTTCATAGAATTATTCTCAGTCTCTTCCTCTTTTTCGACACTAGCTTTCTGGGTTTGACTCTCTGCTCCTGGTGGCTTTGCTTTGGACTTGACAGTCTTTCCTTCCACTCCATTGGCCATGATTTGGTGAGACTGAATCTTAGGTTGGGACTTCCTAATTAGTGTTTTTGAAGTACCATTATCCTTATTACCATTTCTTTGAATTCCCTTGGTTGGGTTGCTTGATTCTTGGATCAGACGTGGGCTGTGAGAAGCTCGTGGGCTAAAAGAAGATCCACTACCTTCCAAAGAGTTGTTCATTGAAGCTGTAGAGCTCTTGCGCCTTCCAAGCTTTGGTGATTTTGCACGGGTAGTCGGTATCTATAAGAATTAGCACACAATACTTTATCTCAATAATGTACCATAAAGAAGATGGGGAAAAACACACACACAAAAGAGAGAGAGAGAGAGAGAGAGAGAAGAAAAAAGCAAGGAATCGAAACGAAACAGGAGGACAGAAATGTGCATAAAAAAGCTGTTAAGCTAGATGAGCTTCGAATTGAACTAGCGAGTGTATTTGCTTGTGCACATATATTCCTGTATCATAATTTTTTTAATGAATATATTCCTCCTAACTCGATAACATTTGGATCAAGGAGTTATCGTAATAGGGCCTGATCGAGAAAGAAAAAAGAAAGAGCATTTTGATTTCGGAGTTAAGCAAACTGGTCCTGTCCCATTTTTTTGAAAAAATTAGCATGCATGCAGAGATGCCCTCACTAGCTATTGTCAATGCCTTAACATGCATAATAAACTCGTGAAAGCAAAGATCCTAGGAAACACATCACTTGCAGTCCTAAAAAACAGTAATTGCAATTTGCAAAGGTAAAAAAAAAAGCCTAAAAAATGCACAAATCATTTGCTATGTAAATGCACTGTCATTAAATATGTCTGGTTGTTTCTAGGGACTTCAAGATTCGTAGAAATGTTAGGCCACATTTAAAAAACTCAATTCAACAGGCACAGATAAACAAATATACCAATGGAATATGTGAATTAGAAACCAGAGTTTACGCATTGGTTAGTCCACATGATGGACATAATATTAGCAAAAACATAATGAGCATTTGAGAAATAGTGATAATTTCTCGGCATTTAAAGAGTTCCTTTGGTGTGCTTTCAATCTTAAAATTGATGAAAAGCTGCAATACAGAATACAGAAAATTTACATGATGTTATCAACGGAAATCTGACAGTTCAAGCATTACCTTTTTCAGTTCAACTTTTGGAGGAGGCTCTTTATAGAAACTTGGCATAGGTGTAGCTTTAAATGTCAAAGACTTCCTCAGTTGCTTGATCTCTGCTTCCTGGCTCTCCTGCATGCCACCAAAAAGCAAAATATTAAATGAAGATTCATAATCCTTTAGACTTGGAAGAGAAAGATCAAACTCTTAAAAGTATAAATGAAGAGAAAGGTGAAAACAAAAAATATTTCAGGTGAAAGAAAAATCCCAATACCTTTGATTTTGCCTGCAAGTTAGTCTGTTCCATTTCCTTAGCATGGATCTTCTCTTCAAGCTTTGAAAAGAACTGGTGAACAATGGCCATATTACAATCATGTTTTAAATTCAATTAAAAATATTAAGAATCTAGCAAAGGAACTAAATTCCAGCAACAACCTCCTTCCGTTTTTCAGCTCGTTCTTCCAATCTGAAGGAGAATCCAGAACCACTACTTCTCCACCCACTAGGAGTGGCACTTCTGATGTTAATAGAGTATAATGGCACATTAGCAAAATAGATGCTTGTATGCATAAATGGGGCTAAATAGGTTCAACCTCTCCTGAACTTTAGTCTATTTGAAAATTAGTCTCTAAACTTCTAATTTCAAGTTTGACGTTCCTTGAACTTTATTTTTTTTTAGATTTACTCCATTCTTAATTTTTTGTAAAAAAACAACGGTCACATAAAGAGCTTCATGATGAAAATCATTTTAAGAAGATTTGTCTAGGACTCTCCAAAAAATTTGAGATCATTCCACATTATTTTCTATGTTTCCCAATTTTCAACATTTTTAATGTTCAGGAAAAAAAAAAAAAAACTTTCCGACCTTGAAAAATTCTAAGATTTTTTTTAAAAAATGGATTGGATTTTTCCCAACATGGATGCAAAATATTAGCTCAAAATACCAAGAATTGAAATTTTTTAGATGGGGAGTGATAGCTAGAAATAAAAAATATAGTTCAGGAGAGGTCAAACCCAAAATTATAAGTTCAGAGAAGGGTGAATTAAAGTTCAGAGAAGGTTTGGTCCATTTAGCCCATAAACAATTAAAAAAAAAAAATTGTGTTTTATAAGAGCAGTACGAAGTTGATGAATGGGTGTCATCTTCTTCTTTGCTTGACAATGTGGTTGTCTCAGGTTTTGAATTTTGATCAGCAGCAGACCTGCAATTAGGTAAAGATTATATTTGCTAACTTTTATCCACTAAGCAAATGATTAAACAGGTATACTTTTTTTTTTTTTTATGGCAGGGGAAGCTTCCCTGAATACATTTGGATAGCTTGAACCAATAAGGGAAAACAAAATTTTATGTAGTGCATGGATGTTGACTTACTCAGAAACCTGGGGTGGAGGGCACTTAGCAGCTTCATTCGAAGAACTTGGTTTCGCAGACTGTTATGAACAACAAAGAGTTAGATAAAATAAAATAAAAAGACCTAAAATAGCACCATAGTCAAAATCTATCAGCAGAAAACCTTACCGCAGCCTGCTGATTGCTAGACTTCCTTGTTGAAGAAGTCTGCCTAGTTAAAGTCTTACCACCATTGATATTTGATTCCTTTGAATTCACTCTGTTATCATTATTGAAACGAGGACTTGAAGTGACTGACCCAATGGAAATAGGGACCTGCGCCTTTGTTCCTTCATCCCGGGCATGCTTGACAGCAGTTTTGAGTGGGTGTCCCTCAATGCTCTTCCTCATATTATCAGTACGCACTCCTTTTGCTGGAAATGAAAGACTCTGAGAAAGTATTGACCTCTGGCTACGAGAAAATGTACCTGAGCCTTTCACATTAGGTTTAACCTTGGCCAATTTGCTGTTCTTTGAACCAGTGCCTTTCCTAGGAGCAGGTTCCTAAACACAGGCGAAGACATACCATTATACCAACATGGTAAAAAGGAAACTGTGCCTTTCATTTTGTACTATGAATGTGCTAGTAAAAAATTGCACGGCACCTTTATGGCGCTTGGGAGTTTTCTTTCAGAAACACTTGCTGCACCTTCACTTGCTATGCCAGAAGAACTAAGGCCTTCAGCTTTGGCAAAATTCTCAGATGCTTCGTTGGCATTTAGAGGTCTTTCATCATTGGTGGCATTTTTTTCTTCCTTTTCTGGTGCCATCGCAGGTGCTTTAGCATGAATTTCTTCAATGATAGTTTCCTCACTCACTTTAACTGCATTGTCACCCTCCATTCGTTCACGAAATCTTATTGCGAGGAACTGCAAAATTACAATAGATATGTTGACCATAACTTCACGCTACTCTATGACATGCATTTTGACAAAGCAAAATGATCTTACGATCTAACAGCAAGATAGATTGTTGAAAACGAAAAACTTAGTTTTAGGAACACATGAGAACAGCATTTGAATGAATTCAAAAACTGAAGTCACAATACAATTGAAAAAGCTACAATGATAAGACGAAAGACCAGAAATAAAATCAAATCAAATTAAAAACATTCAGATCCCATATAATTGATCACTAAAACAAAGAAAAAGGACTGAAACTTCAAAATTCGGTACAGATTAGCATAAATAAATGAAATGAAAGTCTACCAAATAAAAAAACACACACACACACAAAAGAAAAAGAAAAAAAAGGGTTTTGCCTGGCTGTTTCAGGAAATTGAAATATACACTTCAAGGTTGAAACTCAAAATTACCATGGCTACTAGTTCAAATTTAAAGTAAAAGTTATTTCCTTGTAAGTGTAAAATTCAGATGAACCAGATTCTATCTTTCCTACACTTCCTCAATAATTAAACAAAGGATAAATCAAATCTGAAACTGCAAAACTTCCCACAACAATTACACATATCATTAAAAGGAAAAAGCCACTTCTTTTTGGCATTATTCAATAAAAAAAAAAAACCACTTCATTTATGGAAACTAGGAACCGAATGAAGTTTTAACTACAGAAGTTTCTAAAGAATGCAAGCTTCAAGACCTCTGTTTTTCCTCAATGTCTCAGCAACCGAACAACACAGCAAACTCTCACAAACTTTCTAAAAAAAGGATTGAAAATGAGAGATCAATCCAAGAAAAAAAGAAATCCAATATAATTAAACAAATAAACACTAATCTCTTCAACCAGGAAAAAAAAAAGACCTTACCCAAAAACAATCAAGAAAAGTTTCACAAGATTCCAAAGCCAACATTACAAGAACATAAATACCATGAAAAAGCAAATTAGAAAACAAAAGCATACCTTTAGACACTAGCAGAGTAGTGAAGTTCGAACTGTTGAGGGAGACTAGAGAGCAAATGAGATAAAACACTGAAATGTATGTAAGAATGGTAAAGAAGTGACAAACTCTGAGTCTAAAGCTACAAAGATAGTTATGTAAGAGCCAGTTATAGTGACTTTTACATACACTGTCACCCTATCTGGTTCTGGTTCTGGTTCTGTTCGAGAAATACGAGAGGGAGAGAAGGAGAGAGAGAGAGAGAGAGAGAGAGAGAGAGTGCTGTGAATAGTTAAAGTAGGATGTGCATTTCAATGAAGTGGATAGAAATAGATAGAGTTATGAGACCCTGTTTTGGAATGACAAATATGCCACTTCCTTCCTTGGCAGTTATTTTTCTTCTAATTTATCTAATCTACTCCCTTGTAACTTCCACGGCCATCTGAATTCTGAATCTTCATGGAGGGAGGGCATTCTAAGCTCTTTTTTTTTTTTTTAAAAAAAAAAGAAAATTATATGATAAGGCTAACTTTTAATGGAGCATTGTACTTTTTTTGTTTTGTTTTGTTTTGTTTTGTTTTTTTTTAAGTAAAATCAATAGAAAATATTTAATTAATAAAAAATATTAGTATATTATATAGCAATAAATACATCAATTAAATTTTTTTTAGATGATAATGCACATGAAATAATTAAAAAAAATGCTAAACATTAAGAAAAATCAATAAAAAAAAAACTTCAAGGATACACATAAATTATTGGATAAGTAAAACTCATAACCGGATCTCATTTCAAGATCACATTCAAGGATTCATGTGCATTTTTAAAGTTTTTTCTTATAGATTTTTCTTAATATCTAGCATTACTCTAATCAAAGTGTATTTTTTGTCTTATCTCATTGCACATTTGAGGATTATATATGATTAGGTTTATATAATTATTATATAAGAATTATAATTGGTAGTTTCTCTTTGATACATTTTATACTGTACATGTTACCTGTAAAATCCATAAATTTCTTTAGTTTTTTTCTCTCTCTTTCAATTCTGGCAAGAAGCCAGACAAATTTTGAGGAGTGATTCAATCTGTAGTTTACTGTTGTAAAAAAAAAAAAAAAAGTTGGTAAGATGGCTAATCTGTAGTTTACTTATTATTATTATTATTTGCTTCCATTTTCTAATGTGGGACCATTGTGCTAGACCGCTAGCGTCCTCTTCTGGGCTCTCGATGCTGGAATCATTAGAGTGGTTCGAGGTCTATGAATCACATCAATCCATGAGAAACTAGGAATTTCGCAAGCAAAGAGGTATATAATTATTGCACCCCTTTTCTCTTAATGCTATTTTATGAATTTCCCTCTTCATTTTGCTTTGCTACTCTTGATTGAAAGTCTAAATACCTCGTTAAATTGTTTCTCTATTAAAAATCCAATACCTCAAACTAGTTCCTACACACTAAGTTATAATTTTTCTCTATCAGGTAGTAATTAATATAGTGAGAGGTAATCTTCCATTTTTCTTTTTTGGGTTAAATTCCAATCTATTTTAATCAATCAATTCTTTCCCTTACATCTGAATGGTTTCATATTCTCTTTTTTTTTTTCAAGTGTATCTCAAAAATTAATTTTAGCTTTGCCTGAAACAGCTACAACATCAACGCAACTAACATATATTACGTACCAAATGTTTTCATCAATTAAATTTATTGTGACCAGTCAAAATGGCTTTTTTGTTTTTTGGGTCAAGGAAAATAAAGAAAGAAAGAAAGAAAGAAAGCTTCTTCTCAAATTGAATTAGCTGGGTGCCACTGCCACTCCAAAAATTTCTTTTTCTAAGAATCTTAGAAACTCATGCCCCACGTTATCGATCAACCAATTAACATTAATTCTCATCAAAGCATGATTAGCACGTCTCTGAATAGTTCGACTTCTATAAAGCCCATAATTAAGGAGAATTTTACAATAACGTTATTTTGAAAATGTTAAAAAAAAGAAGAAGAAAGGTTGGCAACTGAAAATATATGGATTGAATGCTTATCTTCCAGTAACTAATGACTTGTTGTTTTTTTTTAAACTGAAAGTAAGTAAGTGATGGATAATGACTTTATGTCACTTGGCAAACATGTAAAAAAATTCTGTTTAATTTCTTCATTTTTTGAATTCAAATTTTTATATAATATTTAAAATTTTTTATTTTTTTCAAATATGCTAATCTACAAAAGGAATAGTTAATTAATCAACAGCAACGGAAAAAAAAATAAAAAACGAAGAAGGAGAAGAAGAAGAAGGGCATTATGGTAATATAGAGTAATTAGTGAGGAAGGGCATTAGAGTAAGCACAAGGCAAGAAAATGATTGAAGACAGCAGAAGAAACTGTTTAACAACGTGGGGTGTGAGAGAACTCTCGTAGAAGGTAGGTCCCGCACTCTTACAGGGTCACAGGTGGGTGTGTTACCCGATGACATGGCGCGACCAAGCAACATGATTGGTCTCACGTTGGAGCACAGCAAACATGAAAATGGACCCCACCTACACCACGTACACCAACCGGTAGTGAGCTGTGAGAACGTGCGTTGAAGATTAGTGGTTTTATGTTGAGATTAGATGATCCGAGCCGTTGGATTAAGAGTTCAATCATTTACCACTTTTTGGGACCCATTGATTTCTTGGGGATTTGTAGTTTTGTATATTACAGGATTTTGTGGGTGGTACGTTGCATTCTTGGAGCAAGGCTGGCTGGCCTTCCCTTTGGCGCTTTCATCTTCCACCTCCTCAGTACTCAGGCTGTTTTTCCGAATCTGTTTATCCCTTTCGCGTGCCACTTGCTTCATCTTCTCAACCATACATGCACTTACCATATTCTTCAAGTATAGGGTAATTTGGTTTATTTCTTACCTTATTATTTTGAATTCTAGCGGAAATCACGAAGTTTCGCATAAAAAGATAGGCAGAAAATAAGAATGGAATGGAATTTGTTTATTTCTAATATTTTTTTCCTTCTAATTTATCAATGAACTTCTACTTCAAGTAATATTGAATTATCATGAGATTAGGAGTTCAATTTCTAAAAAAAAAACAAAGTTAATTTTCTGTAAATAGATATTAAAACCTAACCACTGATAATGTTTATACCAATAGTAATAATAATAATAAAAAAAGCAATAGATGCATTTTTGTTTTAACTTATATGAAAAGGCGAAAAATATAAAAAGTAAAGAGGGCGTGAATAGTAAGTATGCAAGGCAAGTTCTACTAATGCTAAACATTATACGATATATATATATAATTAATTAATTAATTAATTAATTAATTGCCACTGTCCTTTTGTTATCATGCATCAGATTATTACGTACATGACGCCTAAGAAACATTTATGAGATTATTATGTATGACCAAAGCAGAGGGGCCATTGCTCTTGTAGTCCATAACATTTTTTTTTTTTTAAGTGTTGCTCTTATCCAGAAACCGATACACTTCATAGTAAAGAGAAAATAACAATAAAAAGTCACTGCCAAGAAAAGTATGTATTATCAAATCAAATTCAAAATTCAAAAGGTGGTAATTCTTCCATGCCTTTTTTTTTTTTTTTTAAATAAATAATCGTCCCAGACTTGTCTTAAAAAAACAAAATTAATCATAGGAAGATAAATTCTGATTAAAATGTTTATCTAAAACTCAAAAAATTAATTACTTTCAGAAGAGAAAAAATCATCATTATACTTCGTATCATTGATTGAAACTAGAAGAATAATGAATCTATAATCGTTTATTGCAGCGTTGGGTACCTGCGCTCTCAGTTATGCCTGGGTCGTCATAGAATTCTTGTCTCTTTACACTTAAAAAGTGAATAATTTTTTCTTAATAGTACTATTCTATTTTTAGAAATTTGAACCAAATAATTCATTTCACGTAATCAAACCTAAGGACCTTTTTTTTTTTTTGGTTCCCTAGCTGGCAAATTGATGTTCTAAAAGCTTAACATTTTTTTTCCTCGATCCCTTGACTGAGGAAACAGAGGCCTAATTAGGATTAAATTAGGGAGCATCCATACCCCAATTGATTCATCGAACATTAATCCAAGTTTAAAATTAATGAACTTTCTGCTCAGAAAGCACTAAGCATTATTGTTTGCGCCAACTGGCGCCACTTGATTTCCTCACCATAGAAAAAGAAAGAAAAAGAAAGACCGCTGATTAATCTGCATGTTGATCATGTCTCCTTCTATGAAGCATCCCTCTTCCCCTCTAACTTTTTCAAGCATCAATTTGTTTGCAATAACATTGGATCCGAAACCAAATTCTCCACCTTTAATATATATATATAAAGACCTATGATTCCTTGCATATTTCCAAAATCTTGTTCTTGATTGGTTTTATATCCAAAAAAATAAAAATAAAAAGTAAAATTCCTGATTAATTTTATTTTATTTAGTGATGCTATCATATATTGTACTTTTTCATAGTTTATTTTGTCTTCCAAAATAATTGAGCTCGCAATCCCTGCAAATCCTGATTAAAAATATTTAAATGCGATAATATATATATTATGCTATTTTTTTTCCTAACTTTTGCCATGCATTTCAAAACACAAAGAAGCATGTGTTCATATATTGTTTTTCATTGTCTTTCTAACCTTCGGCATGCATTTCAAAACACACATATGCATGCATGTGTATGTGTATATATTGTTTTAAATATCAGAATATTTTTTACCAGTTTTTGCATAATAAATTAAAATTAAAATTATTTTTCTAGTAATTTCAAGAAATTTCCAACTCATGCTATGTTTGTCCGGGGAAAATAAGTTAAAGGAACTTATTTTTTTATTTTTTTTCTATTTTTCGATATTTGTTTCACGTTTAAGAAAAAAATCAACAAAAAATAATAGAGGATTTTTGAAAAAGTGTTTTTCTAGTTAAAAAAGAGAAAAATATTTTTCCTCTCTTTCACGAGTTGTCTCGCTCTTGTGTTACTCACCTCTCTCTTAATATATTTTAACAATTTTTTTTTCTCTTCTTTTTATTTAAAATTTATAAAATTAAATTTTAATTATTTCTTATCAATTATTATTAATTATTTAATTATTTTTTCTCTATTTTTACTAATATTTGATTTTTCGATTTATAAATACATTAAATATTCTTAAAAACCATTTTTACAGACTTAAAATTATTTTTATAATAAATATTTCAATAATTTATCTCTATATTTTTTTGTAATTATCCCAAATACCACTTAAACTATACTTAAATAATTGGAAATAATTATTACAAGACTACAATCATTTGTAAAAATTTTGAAATTAATTAAATTAATTAATAAATATATTATTTTTCAATACTATTTATTTGCAACTAAATCAATAATTTTTAATTAATTTTAATCGGTTGTAAAATTTTGTTGGTAATTGTAGTCAATAATTAGTTACAAATTATTTCAACATTAATCTTTTGAAATCAAATGAATAATTATCTACAAATGATAACTAATAATTTATAAAAACTATTTTTAGATCAAATTATCAGTTCAATTTTTTTTTAAAAAAATTCTTAATTGAGTTACTAAAATAACAATGCTAGAATTACTTAGAATTTTTTTTTATTAAATGTGAATATTGATTGATTTTGTCTCAAATAGTTTTAATAAATTGGTTTGATAGTTAAAAATGTACATTTTATTTTTTGAATTTAAATTTTAGAGTCGGTATTTATAAAACATTATTAAATTTTTGTTAAAACTCGTTGATGTAACAATCACAACTTGTTTTTATATTTCAGTTTTCTATATCAAACATATGTTGAAATATATTTTTCAATAGTTTTTTTTATGTAATTATCAAATGTCAAAAAATATATTTTTTTAAAATAACTTTAAAAAAAATAAATTCTCCAAAATTGATTTTTTTTTTTTATTAAAAGTTGTTTCCGATAAACAAACGGCACTTGAATTGCATTATTGTTATAATTATTATGTCCCTACAATTGAATTTTGAAAGTTGACGTTGGGCCATTAACGAGTAAGTGACAAAATCAATTAGGTCTATGACACTCCTTGGGTTATCCAAAATACGAGCTGCTAAGGGGAAAAGATGGGAACACAAGTTGAGCCACCCCTATCAAGATTAAAGATTAGAGACGCCTTAAGCATTATCTGCTTGCCCCATCTAGGTATACTTCGTTGTCTTGATTTATTTTCTTAGTACTCTTATGCCCCACATTCCAATCCACTTCATAATCCGCATAACTTGAACCCCTCCCCTTTGTCGAGCAAAAAATACGCATTATTATGCAAATAATTGGTTTCTAAACCTGACATTATCCTTTCATTGTCTGAATTATCCCAATCAAACGATCTCTTTAGTGCTCCAAATTCACAACTTGGAGTGGGGGATCAGTATTGACGATAATTAAGTTTGGTAGAACGTAAAGGAATATATATAAATAATTGAAGAACGAAATGGAAAAACCTCTTAATTAAGTGTATAATCTTGCAAGAAAAATAGGGTTCTTCAGGTTGGAATATACACTACGTACATTTGGCCATACACATTTGAGTTATTGAAATTTTCCTTTCACATATCAAACAAGACTTGTGTGGTCTATTTTGCAATACAAATCTATTAAGTTAAGAAAAATAATTATATTAATTTCCAGAAGAAAAACCTCACCATCATGTTAATAAACTGATAGTGCCTCCCTAAATCCAATGCCAAAATTTTTACCCTGTAAACCATTCTTACCCAATTCAGTATTCCCTTTTTGCATCATGGCCACAAATTCATTGTAATCTATGCGACCATCCTGTGAAACAAAGCAAAAGCAAAAGCAAAATCAATGGAGGCTGCCATATATTAATAGCATTAATCCAGCACCAAAAAAAAAGTTATGATGACCAAAATATTCCTGCAGATTGATAATAGTTTCTTCAATTAATGGAGACCGCTTCATACTAATAAAGAAGTACTCACATTATCTTGATCAACTTCTCGAATCATCTCTTCTAAGTGAACATCTTCCATGCCAAATTCGTTACAGGCTTGTTGGAGTTCATCTATAGTGATATAGCCACTGCCATCTTTGTCAAAATATGAGAAGGCTGCAAATAGATGATCTTCCTTTTCAACTTTGTTTAAATGTACTGTGGCGGCTATGAACTCCTTATAATCTATTGTGCCATTGTTATCAACATCTGCCTGCAATTTTGAAATAAACATAGATGTCAAGATTAACAGAAGCAGCTGCATAACAGCAGTACTTCAACGTTCCTTCTATTTCTCGCAAGCCTGTATTGAATTTCCATATGTGGAGGACTAAATTCAACAGTGAATCAAAATTTTGATCCTTAAGGTAGGGAAGGTCTAAGGCCAGACAAAAATATGCTCGTTGCTGATACATTTAGGGGGCATTTTAACCATGACATTCTGTCAGCAACTTGAACTAGCAAATGACACTTCTAGAGGTTGCAAGGCATAAACAAGCTATCGAAACCAATGACATAAAGACATTATGACTGAGTGCCACGGAAGTACTTCAATCAACTGACTAAAAGTTAAAATCATATGAGGGAGGACCACAATTCACTTTTATGTCAAGTATTGATTGAGATTTTCTCTATGTGTACTTCAGAATTATCAAGTAGTTGGATGATCTTACCGCTTGCAGTAGAGAATAAATTTCAGCCTCTGTGAGATTAGCACCAAATCTTCTCAGTCCCACTTTGAGTTCTTCGAAAGTAATTTGACCACTATTATCTGTGTCTATCATCTTAAATATCTCTTTTAAGCCAGCAATTTCTTCTTCAGAAAGGTTCTCAGCAATGATCTGCCGACAATAGATTTAAAGTTAAGATAAGGGACCTGC